GGTCTACGTTTTATTTTTCAAATATTTTGCCTAGAATCTTTTTGTAATGGATTTTACTGGTGCATGTCCTCTCGTTCTGGTTTTAGCAAATAATATGAAATTTGTGTCAGTGTAGCCTCCGCGCAACTTTGGTCATTATTCCCCTGCAGGACATCCGTCATCCGTTGCGCTTTTGCTTTGCTTGGTTTTGTTTTATCGCTTGGCTTCCTGCTGTTCTGGCTGTTCTTCTCCTTCCTTTGCTGCCTGCCTGCTGCTGCCTGCTGCTGATGTTGCTCTCATTAACAAATTGTCAGGTGTGTGCGCTGGCGTCGACGTCGCAGCCTCTGCCGCTGCCTCTGCCGCTGCAGTTATTCGTCATGCTTTGGTTAATCAGCACAGAACCGAACCGGAGCGGAGCGAGCGGAGTGGAGCAGAGCAGGGCATTACGATTACGACGTCGTCAAAAAAAAAGCAGAACAGAAACTGCCGTCCAGAACATGCCTGCAATTCAACTGTAAAAGCATTTAAACGGAAAGTTTGTCGGCTTCCCTAAATTGTTCCTCTTCTCTGTGGCTGCCCTCCTTCCCCTGCCACTGCCACATCTCCTTTTCCGCTCTTCCCCCCTCCCATGCATCGCTTTTCCCGTTCTTTTCCCCCATCTCCTTTTGCTCAGTTCTTCTTGTTGTCTGTGTTTACCTGTTGCTCGTAAACAAATGCCGGACTTAATCAATTCGTAAAACCGTTCAAACTTCAAGTGATAACAAACAAAGGCGAGACGACGCATTGCTAGAAAAGAAAGTCACAGGGATCGGGACTGTTCTCTCCATCTCCACACATCTACACACACTCGGCACATGCAGCCCCCCCCCCCATTCCACTCGGGACGGTCAACTGCTTGGATGCTGATGCTTCTTGTTTATTTTCTCACACAGGCGGCAAAACAAATAAATTCCAGTTGTATCCCCTTTTTCAGAATTGATTTTGAAAACCTAATCAAATTGACCAGCCTCCAGTACTCCTTGCTGGGGTTCTGTGTGTGGAGTATATCGGTTAAATCATCCAACTCAATGCGATTAAAATAATTACACAAGTCTGACAATTAATCTAAGGGAGAGTAGAAAGTATTTCCGACTCAATAACTATTTAATTATTAATTATATTCAAGAACCATAACACTGCAATGGAGATTAAGTTTGTTTTTTGTGTCATCTAGGGTATCGCCAGTGCGTCTTTCGTTGGCTCTCTTTTTGCCCCGCACTCATTACTTATCGACGACCACCACCAAGCGACGCTGCTCTCTGGGGCCGAAAAGTCCCCCAGTCACTATTTTGTAATTAAATATCCAAATTAAGAGTAAGCAAATTTGCCGCCTGTCTCGTAGGGGTTGCATCTGATCTCATCCGAACTGATCTGATCTGTTGCATCTGGAAATAGCAACGCATCCAAGTGAGGCATTTTATGCAACACACGCCAAAATGCCAAATGGAATGGGGCAGTGGGTAGGGGTAGGAATAGGCCGAGTGCACCACAGTTTCATCATTTGCATGGGTTGCTTGTCTTTGTGTGGCTCCCTCTCCATCCATTTCTCCCTTTCTTCCTCCCTCACCCTTTTTTTGATGTTGTTGTTGCTGCTGCTGCTGCTTCAACAAACGCATGGGGCATGTCTCCCGCAACTGTAATGACTCCACAGTCGACGGCAGCGGCTCCATCTGGCCCCTCCGTCTAGCTTTTCTCCAAAGAGTAGTGGAATGGGGGGCGGGCATAGACAATAAAAAAAATTTTCCTGTCCCTGACGCTGTTGTTGCTTGCACTCAACCCCGGCTCCGGCCCCTGATCTGCCATAGCCCCTGCCCCTGCCCCTTTCCATGCACTACGGCCCCGGCTCTTTCTTTATTCCTGTCCCTTCCCCCCCGCCACTTCTCTTACATGATCAACACAAGAATCCATATGATGTCGATGACATTTTTGTTGTTTTTGTTGTTTTGTTGTTTTTGTTGTTCTATGCGTTTGTCGATGAATCTCGCGCTCGCTCATTCCACATATTTAAATGTGCATATCCCGTATTACATGAAATTTTTTCTCTCTCTCTCTCCCCCTCTCTCTAATCTCCTAGTGTCGTTGAACCTTTCCATTCCTTTACGTTTTTTATTGTGCGCCGTACTCAACTTTATTGTTATTATTATTTCGCGCGGGTATGTTTTTTCTTCCTCATTGTGTTTGCTTTTGCAGATTCGCTTGCTCTCTCTTTAAGCTGCCTGCACTGAAAAAAATTGCTATTAGTTGATGATAGAACAAGAGAGGGAGGCTAAGCTAGGTTCGGACGACAGATACATCGTTTATATGTATGTATATATTTCTTTATTATGTAAACGCTAAATTAGTCATCTATCAAGAAATGCAATATTCGTATGCACATATTTTTGAGCTTTTTTTCTGCTGTGTGAATTTCACTGCTTTGCCTGCGCTCTGATCTGTTTTCGCTCTGTTTTGCTCGCTCTCTCGCTCTCTTTTGCTGCGCTTATTTGATGTCATAGTAGAATCAGCAATAACAAGAACAACAACAACTGATGACAGCGATAACAGCGGCACATGCACACGTGCATTCTGCTGCTGCGCCTTCTGGGCAATTATTTCCAATTTAGCTACAGCAACATAGCAGCAGCAGCAGCCAGCAACAGCAACAGCAGCAGCGGCAGAGTTTGAAGCAGCGGCAGAGTGCAGCCAGGCTGCGTAGAAGATCAGGGCTTGGCTGTGCTCCTATTGTCTTTCGCTGACTGACGACACAGTTCATTGGCCCATCCAATCCAAGATGCAACAGCATAGGAGTAGCTTGCAACAGATGCACCAGCACTAGCATCATCATCATCATCCCGACTGGGACTGGGACTGGGGCTGGGGCAGGCCTGTCCCATGCAATTACTCCATGTACTTGGACTGTAATAACACGGAGTCGAACTGTACGTAAACTGGTTGCAGGATGCTGTGGATGCTGCTGCTGCTCTGCTGCTCGAGAGTGGAGACTTTCTAGCCAGCGTTATCTGTCTATATCTATCTAGGAAAACCAGTTATAGGGTGGGGGGGGGGGGGCCCAGGCTTGTTGCACGCCCATTTTAGCTGCCTGCCACAGCGCTGTCGTTGGCAGTCGCCAGTTGCCTGTTGCCTGTTCCCTGTGCCCCGTTGTCAGAGGCAATGATCAAGCCAGGAGCAGCAGGCCCGAGCTTGACTAGACCTGTTGCTGCTTGTCGCTGTCGCCGCTGCCGCTGCCTCCTCTTGCTGTTGCTCTGTCTTTGGCCCTGGAGCTGGATTTGCTGTTGTGGCAGGCAGCCCCACCATACTCAGGCACACACAAAGGCTATTGACTCTGTTGTTTTTCTATTGCCCGTCTGGAGGTTTGGGGCCTGACTCCAGGCACTTCCTTCTCATGGCTCCAGCTGTATATGGTGGCTGGATCGGCTGGCAGCAGTCGCTGGCAGTCGCAAGTTGCAAGTTCGTTGAACCAAGTGGAGCTATTCTAATGCCAGGGAAACGTGTTTGGCAACTTGCAATCGGAGTGGGGCGGTGGTTATGGGTGTGGGAATTGGAATGGGAATGGGGCACGAGGACTGAAACTACACCAACTCCTACTCCAGACTCTTCCTACTTCCCCCCGCCCCACCGCCATCACAAACAGCATCAGGAAGAGGCAAAAGAGTCAACGCCTTGCTAATGGTTCACGAGTGGATTGATATTGAAATGAAATTCGCACTGAAGCGTAAGCGAAAATCAAATGTATCGCACATTGGAGCTAAAATGTGGAGAACTGAAACTATTTGCACCACAGGAGACACCCAATCCGTTTGTGGCAATCAACAGCCACCGCTAAGAGCTCGAAATAGTCACACAAGCTTCTATTTATAGTGATCACTGAGATCACTAAGATGCGTTTTTTTTTGAGCAGTTTAATGCTCGTGAAACATGGCAGCAGGTGCAAAATTGGTGGCTCCATGTGGCTGCCAAGAGCTTACGAAAAAGAAAAGCTGCGAGTGTCTTGATTTAAAAGGAATCAAAAGAAAGAAATCAAAAAGATTATTTAAAAATTTTGTAAGTTTCCGTTTCTGATATTAATTGGATTATAATCCAAATTCAAATGTGAATTGAAAAACTCTCTTCGTGCGGGGCAATGAACTCTTCCAAAATTCCCTGAAAAAGAAACAGGGGGCGTGGAAACATCATACACACAAACGCACACATATACATACAATACATATGTATGTAAATTCATTACCAAAGAAAAACCCATTATTGGAAGTGAAATATGTTCTTAAATTTTTTTTGTTTTGTTTTACAAATGATAATCCATTTATAGAACGCCAACCGAAATCAGAGGAGAGAACAAATTACAAAAATTGTTGGAAAACTGCGTACAAACTTTATAAATACATTTCACCTCATTACAAAAAAATATTCGATTGGAATTTTCGATTGGTTTTTGTGGTTGTTGTTGTGTTTGCTCTGCCCAAAACGACTTCATCGTGGATGGGCATAAATATCAATTTACGCCCATTTTTTTTGTTCACTCGTTTGGGTTTGTTTCTTGAGCAACATCTGTTCCAATGTGCCGTGGCCCATGGGCACAGGAGGGCACTGTCAAAGCCCAAGTGGATCTGGATCTGAATCTGGGTATGAGTCTGGTGCTGGGTGGGGCTGGCCTGTCCATCATCATCGTTGCCCGATTATTATTGTTGTTGCACACAGAGGGCCCCGTTGCCGTTGCTTTGGCCCTGGGCCCTGAGCCCTGAGCCCTGGGCCAATCAGTCAGCGAGGCACTCAGCGAAGCGTGAATGCCAATTGCCGATATCTACACATTCAATTAATAAAATCAACAGCAAAACACACACACATCGACTGAGGACCAAACCGAACCGAACCGAAGCGGAGCGCAGCTCTTATCGCCCCGGCCAGGACATGTCATTAGCCAAGCTCCAGTGCCATCCAATCCAGTTCGGCCTCAGTTCAGTTTCAGTGTCAGTTGGGGCCTGGATATGGCCAAGTACAGTCAGCAGAATCGAAGCGATGGAGTGCAGGTGGAGGCCTGGTCGCGGGGCATTATGGTGGCACTGTATCGGGTGGCTCGACTGCTGTCGCTCATCTCCTTTCGCCTGGATCGCGAAGAATTGCAGCTGAAGCTGTCAAAGAGTGGCAGCAGAAACAGGATCCTGGAGACTGTCTGGCGCATCCTGGTGATACTGACCTATGCGGGTGTCTGGCCACAACTATCCGCGCACCAGATCACCAGCCAGCCGGAAAGCTATGCGGATCTATTTGTCTCATTGCAGTCCCTGTCGGTGTCCATTCTGGCAGTGCTTTCCTTCATCATTCAGGCCAAGGGCGAGGACAAGTTCCGCACGGTGCTCAATCGCTACTTGGCGCTGTATCGCCGCATCTGTGCGGTGACTGGCGTTAGTCAGCTCTTTCCCATGAAGTTCATTGTGTATTTCCTGCTCAAATCGCTGCTGACAATTGGTGGCTGCGTGCACGAGCTGCCGCCGCTGCTAAAGGCGGAACACTTTGCCGACGTTGGCCGCAGCGTGGCCGTCATCGTGGGCATCTACATGTGGCTGGGCACCCTCTTTGTGCTCGATGCCTGCTTCATGGGCTTCCTGGTCTCCGGCATTCTGTACGAGCACATGGCCTCCAATATCCAGCTAATGTTGCAGCGCATGCAGATCATAGAGTGCCAGGATACGGCCGTCCGGCTGAGCAACTACCAGCGGATGCGACTCCTTTGCGACTATGCCGACGAGCTGGACGAGCGTGCCGCCATCTACAGTGAGCTGTACGAGGTGACGATCGCCTTTCGCCGCATGCTGCAGTGGCAGATCCTCTTCTATGTGTACTACAACTTCATCAGCATCTGCCTGATGCTCTACCAGTGCATTCTGTCGTATCTGAACGCGAATGAGCTGGCTCTGGTCTCGCTGGCAGTGGCCACCATTAAGCTTCTCAATCTCATTCTGCTGATCATGTGCGCGGACTACGCTGTCCGGGAGTCGCAGAAGCCCAATAGGCTGCCCCTCGATATTGTCTGCACCGATATGGATCAGCGTTGGGATAAGAGTGTGAGTGTTACGTTTGGTTTTGTGGCAAGCAATTTATGTCCTTAATTCGCCCCACCCGTTAGGTGGAAATATTTCTCAGCCAAATGCAAACGCAGCGACTGGAGATCAAAGTTTTGGGCTTCTTTCATCTGAACAACGAGTTTATATTGCTAATTCTATCTGCCACGATATCGTATCTGTTTATACTGATACAGTTTGGCATTACGGGCGGTTTCGAGGCATCCGATGAGGTACGCAAGCAGTTCAATGAGTAAAAATATCATCCTCTTACTGCTTGCTCTTCTCTTCCCCTGAGTGGTAGCGCTGCTCCATTACCTGGGTTCACCTTCAGCTACCGAGTTCATTATCGTTCATTATATCTCTCGTACCACAAAAGTTCTGATACAATTTTTGGGAGTGCTTTGAGGATGAGCTCGTTAAGAACCAAAAGAAAGAGCAAAACCAAATAAAAAAAAGAAATGAAAATGAGCTACAAAAATGTACAAAAATGTGAAATTTCCGAGACTGCGACTGAGACCGAGACACGGTGTAATTATCATAAGTATCTCCCCACCCAACTCCCCCACACTCTTTTTACCTATCCAACTTGATCAACATCGTCATTGTCCAGGGTCGCCAGTTGATTCAGACTCAAAGGCAGAGTCTTTGTCTTTGATTATTTTTGGGCGTCAGCGGAGCGTAACGCGCTTGTCACGCCTATTATATATGTACTATGTTTCCGTATAAATGAAAGATAGAGAGAGAGAGAGCAGAGAGGTTATAGTAGGAGCGGCGGCATCTGAACCCGAACCCGAAGCCGAAGCCGGAGCCCCTGGATCCCAACCGATCTGACGACGACCTGTGGCTGAAAACAAAGCAAACAAAACGGCAAAAATACGCGCTTTTGGCCTGCAACTGAATTAATTTTTGTTTTTTTCTACTCTCTGCTCCGCTGCACACGGAGCGTTGAGGGGCAGTGGGATGGGTAGCATCGGAGCAGGGGATCTCCCAGTCCGAAATCCCTGACACTGACGAGAGAACATTCAAATTTTTGCACTGTTGTTACTACCTTTTTTTTGTTGCGCTCATTTGTAGCTGGCCAAAACCTGGCCAAGCCATGCATATTTCCGGCGGCCAGCAGTGAGGTAGATCAGATCCCAGATCCCAGATCCCAGACTCAGACCCCACACACCCCACCCATTCCAGGGCCAGATGGCAGACCCAGACCCATTCCCATTCCCGTTTCGCTGATTTCCTGCCATTTGGCGCATTTCAAGTATTTTGCAATGTAATTAGTTAGGCAGCTCCCCCATAGCTCTGGGATTGCAATTTCAATGGGAGTTGGTGTTTTAGCTTTGGCTTTGGGGCCTGTGGTCTGGGATTGGGCCTGGCTGCCACATAGCCGAGATGCCGCAAGTTGAAAGATGCCGCCCCCTTTGTTGTGGTGGCGGTGGCGGTGTTGTTGTTGTTGGGGCTACTGTATACACATGTAACTAGCGACGCAGTCAACGTTCATTGCACACACATTACAAGAATGTGAGATGTGTGAGATAGATGCAAGTGACGAAGATTCTAATACCCTAAAGGAGTTTCGGGCGAGGCAAACAAAAATATTACAAAAAAGCCAAACTGATAAAATCTTTTAACAAAAAATCAAAATAATAATCCTGGCATACATTCCGGTCGGTCACTGTTCCAGGTCCTTCGTTAAGGTAAATTTTTACCACTAGTAAAACCCGCGACTATATTTTTTTGCTCTATCTTTTCTACTCTTTATTCTGCTCCACAAAAGTAACGTAACTTCCCTTTCAAAGGGTATTTTTTTCCCATTTTATTAAATTTGGAGGCAAGTCTAAGGCGGCCTGTGAGCTTATCAGCTGCAACGCATGGCGGCGGCGGCGCTGGCGGCGAACACAAACGCTGTGTGACCTTTGCAATCCACAGAAGCCGCAGCCAGACGCCAAACAGCAACCGTGCGAGCAGCGCGCTGCTACGTCATGTTCCACATATTACTTTCACTTACGAAACGGCAGAAGCAAAATAGAAACCACAATCACAAATCAACACAAACGTGCGAGTGTGGTGGGGGGGGAGTGGGGAGGCAAGGTGCGCTCATAAACGTGACACACAACAAACAACTTCATTTGTCATACTTGGGTACGAGAGCAGAATGGAATGGTGTCGAGAGCGGCAGGGGGTGGGGAGCACTCAATAAACAAGCGTGCCCAAATGCTGTTTGAACTTAATTTGTAGAGCAAAGCGAGAGGCACAGCACAGTCCAGACAGAGATCCGATCCCACCATCCCCTCCAGCTGCTGCTGAGAATGAGAACGTGAAATTTCATGATTGTGTTGTTGTCGTGGGACTACATATGTATGATCAGAATGTGCATAGTAAATTAAGTGGGCGACAGACAGACAGACAATGCACAGAGCAAAAGAAAAACATCTGTGGATTTTGTTGGAGGAGGTGTGACCCCGGCGCTCCGGCCCCGGCCCCGGCCCATACCAACACACAGAAAAAATGCCAAATACCCGTTTTGGCCTAAAAACCTAAAGCCCCAAAACAAGTTGCCACAAAGCAATTAAACGTTAACGATTTGTTTGATACCCTGCACTAACATTTGGAAAATAATAAACGCTAGATTGATATTTCCCAACTGAAATGATCCAACGTTTGTAGGGTGACTGGCAATTGATTGATTGGCTAGTTGCAAATTCAACTCCCACGAGAGTGAACACCGAAGAGGAGAACATTTGCATCCTTGACACGAATATATCTAAATTATTGCTTCGCTCGCAACTGGAACATTCGTTTATGCGAGTACAAGAAAAGAGGTCAAGAACCCCGCCCCGGGCAACATTAGTATCCTCTATCTTATCTATCGCATGCACATTATATGTTGCATTGCGACACAGTTGCGATAAACTGACGCATGACCGAGCAGCGGGACACCCTATCATACACACATCGGTGGCATCGATCGGTGGCGTATCCAAAAAATATGCGATACAATGCGTCATATGCTTTGGCCTTTTACGGGGACCACTGGCCAAAAGGCCCGAACCGAAACGATCCAACAATCCAGCACGCACACATCGCTCTCCGCCCCGCGACCTAGCCCCGCTGAGACGATCTGTTATTTTGTTATTTGTGTGTTCGATGAACCGAATGTTTGACCCACTTTCCCACAAATTAACGCACTTTATGGCGAATGGAATCCACACAAACAGCGTTAGAAAAAGAGAGAATAACGGCCCAAGTAGAACGCGAGAGAGCGAACTTTGATGAGAGCAGCAGAGCAGCAGAGCAGGAAAGCAAACAACAAGTCGTCATAATTGAGGTCGACGTCGAGACTACACTCTCGATCATAAAAAGAATATTGATTTGCAGTTGCTGCTGCTGCGTGTTTTTCTTTTATTCGTGCTTGTAATTTACGCAACGGCTCCGCTCGTTTGTCGTTGTCTCTCTCCCCGGCTACTTGTCTTTGCATTCGACTCGGCAGCAACATTAACAGCAGCCAAAGCAGCACGAGATCAACAACATCTAGGTTTTCGCAGTTGTTGAACTTTTTGCAAGCAGCAGCAGCAGAGGCAGCGGCAGCAGCAGTGGGGCTCCAAAATCTGAAATCAAAAAACCTGTTCCGAGGTTGCCACACGTCTCTCTCGGGCAAATCAAAAGCTGTAGCCAAAGCCAACGAAAACTTGACGTACACGTCCCGCTCTCCCACTCCACTCCGTATCACATCTACCTCTGCCACCCGCTCGCTCTCTCTCACTACCTGTCCTCTCTGCCCACCTTACTCTCTTGCTGCCTTTGCTCTGCCCACTTTGCTGTTTTACTTCTGCGCTGCCGCTGCCGCTGCTCCGCTCTGCTGTTGATCTTTGTGGACTGTACTTTTTTGTTGTTTGAATCGCAAACTTGTTGGTTGTTGTTGTTGTTGTTGTTGTTGGTTCTTGCTGCAGTGTTGATTGAAATCGATCGATGCAACGCAACCAGCATTAGTCAACCCAAGCTTTGACCTTGCTGCAGTGCATCAGCATCAGCATCTGTAATATCGAACATCAGTAGCTGCTGGTGCTCCCAATCTGTTCGGCTGCTATTCGGATATCTATAATTTGGTTGAGCCATGTAATTAATAGTGCAATCAACCCTGGAGCAGCATCTTAAACTCCCTACCCGCCCCCCCACCGAACTACCCGTCATGCCACGCCTAGTGGTTGTCGTTTTTGAAAACGAGCGCATAAATGACGCTTTCCTGTGTACTTAAGGTGTCTAAACTTGACTACCGTATGCAGTGGAGTGGAGTGGCATGGAGTGGTGTGGAGAGTAGAGTGGTCTCCCATACCCAGACCCCAGAATCTTTCAGTCCGCAACCTTGCCCAAGACAACAACTTCTGATGCTGCTGCTCTGCTGCTCTGCTGCTTCTTCTGCTGCTGTCGATGACCATTATTTTAGCTGACGGCGATATATTTGCTCAACCCTCTCCGTTGTCCACTCGGGTGCGACTCGCATCTGTGCGTTTGTCCGGCCTTGAGTCCCATCAGTCCACAGTCTGTTCGACTCTGTTCGAGTCTGTTCTGTTCTGTTCTTTGGTGTTTGCTACCGGTCGGGCTGAGCTTTGGCTTTGGCTTTTTGTTTTTGCTGTACTCTTGCTCTTGCTCCACAGATGTACAGCAGCCATCTTCCATCACAGCCCCAGCCCCCAGTCTAAGTCTCAGCCTGAGCCTCAGCCGCTGAGCGGAGCATGACAAACAGTTGCAGCCAAAGCAAATAATTAGTATACATCGATTATCTTGCGCCTCGGCCCAGTCACAGTCCCACAAAAGGTACTACCTGGACCCTCGGCTACCGGGCACAGCACAGCTTTTTGCCTGCCACCACACAAAACAGGATCCATCTCCAGATGTTGGCACGTCGCACACGCGCGCGCGCTGATGTTGTTGCATCTACCCTTTGCCGCAGGGTACACTAGCATTTGATAAGCACTTTGTAGCGCATTTATGTGATAAAAATATACATTAATATATTTTCATTTAAATTTAATTATTAATTTAATCATTTAAATCATTTAAAAGTTGAATTCAACGCTTTACTTTTATTTGTATTTCCATATACACTTAAAAGTGTATTTGATGCCTCGATCCACAATCGAAACAGATTTCCTTTTTGCTTGTTGTTGTTGACTTCAGTTTGTAGTCCGCAGCCTCCGACTGGGCGTGTGCGGCGAGCGCCTACGCGCACCCAGCAGCCCACAAAACGAGTTCCCCCTCGCAAATCGCAAATCGCATTTCGCGACTCCCTCCCCAACTCCAACTCCCGACACCAACAACGATCCATTCGATCCATACGCCATCCCATGCCATGCCATGTGTGTGTGTGTGTGTGTGTGAGTGGAGTGCTCATAAAATGCTGTGTGCCAGAAACTGTACCCCGGCCCCAGAGCACGGAGTCAACCCGACCAGATCTCTCGAGCCAAAGGAGACGTGTGCGCAGCTCGTGCCAATTTCTTTGGGGGCCTCCAACTTTTACAGTCGCCTTGCGAAACGTTTTGTCTTTCGCTGGTTTTTCTGCATATAAATAAGAATATTCACACACACACACACCCGTTGAATAAGGGCATACATATATGGCATATCGGGTATATATATGTACATATACATATATGCATGTGTGTGACTCTGTGCTTAGATGGCAACGCGTCTAGAAAAGGTGGGGCTGCATTTGCATTAAAGTGCCATTTTTAATTAGTCCCATGCATAAAATAAGCAGCGGGTTGCGTTGAAAACTACTTACACGTGTGCTCTGGGGGAAAGAAGGCGAATGCAGTCGCAGTCCCCATAGATGGAACCACACTCAGCGCGCTCCCCCATCGCTATACACATATGACAATTTATAGAGTGGATCTACGCTAGCATATAGTGTGGGGAATAATTCCATTTAGCCTTGAATTTAAATTTATGGAATCTATCACTTCCGTTCCATATCCAAGATAAAATACTAAGGATTATTGAGGGAATAATTGGAGCAATCATTAGCTGGAATATTTATCTGTATTATATGCAAGTCGTAATCATTTTTTGTTGCAACTCGAGGCTTCCTTTTAAACCGGACATCTTCTTATCGATGGGGGTACAATTAGGAACGATTAGATAAGGCGTGTGAATAATACATAAAATGCCCAGAGCTGGACTGGACTACCCAAAGGCAATGTTTTTTTAATTTTATATGCCATTCTAATAGATAATTACACAAACGATCAGTGTCAAACAAGCGCAGAAGAATAAGTAATTAAATGACGAGAGTTATTGCATTTTTGTGGGCGCCCTTCTTGTCAACACACTGAACACGTTGTAGAATCAGATTAGATAGCAGCCTGGCGTTATATCATCGACATATCTGAGCCCTTGAACAATAAATAAATTAAAGCAAATTAGCGCTGATGATTATTTGAAGTTGGATGGGTTTGATGTTCTCCATTGTTTGTTTTTAAGGCAAACCAAATTTGTTAGCGGCTACATTTGAACAATTCCCAGTGTGTGTTTCCTGTCCGAAAGCTTTTAGGGCTAATGAATCAGAAATGGCTCTCCCTTGAAATTGTCGGGATCCCCTGGATCCCCTGGCCCCTTGCTGAATGCTGCTAAATCAGCTACCGGTTACCGCGTCTGATCTTGATTGAATCGGAGGCTTTCATCATCATAATCAAACATAATGATGATGGAATTTCCTTCATCCGTTCTCGCGTTCTTCCTCTCTCTCTCTGGCTGAGAGTGTGTATTGTAGCTGTACTTTAGGCCCGGGCACACACGTGAAGAGTTGGCCAACAACGACAGCTACCGCTACCTGCAGTCAGGGCACTCCAAGCACTCCAAGTTTTGCGACTGGGACTGGGCCCTGTTCTTTTGTCTAGTGAAATGTTGAAAGCATCATTAATTTTTTTTGTTTATTTTTTTGTATACTCACTTTATGCCTGCTTGGCTTTAACTTTAACAAAGTTGGGATGTAAGTATGATAATTGCGGAATGAAAGGCAGGCAAAGATAGAGCTAGCGATAGCGGCCCGGCAAGAGAGAGTCAGAAGATAAAAAAAAATATAGTGACCCATAATTACCCGGCCAGCAGAACAATCATGGGAAAACTGACTGTAACTTGGCTCCTCTTTCTCCCTGTCTCTCCTTTTCTCAGGCCTCTCTCTCTCTCTCTCTCTGTCTCTCCTTTTCTCATGCCACTCTTTCTCCGTTCGTCGCTGATTCTGTTGTGTCTCTGATGAAGTACAATTATTTAAGCAATGCTATGTTTTATGATTATCTCGCTGTTCACACAGCACGCACAAAAAACAAAATAAAAAATAAAAAATAAAAAATTAAAGCGAGACTAAAAAGAGATGTGAGAGTGTACAGACGCGCAGATTACTCTGTACCGTATCGTTCTGCTACGAATTTCAGCAAACAACTTGCAATGGATTTTTGATTGAAGTATCTCCAAGTGCTGGTCTCCGGCTGCAAGATGTCCGGTTCTTTGGAACCCACACAAAAGGCACATTACACATTATAATTTCTCATTCTGTCCATAAGTACAGTCCCGAATTTTGATAGATTAATAGATAAAACAAGACTTTGCATAGCATATGAATAATTTCGAGAGTTGTTGTAGTTTTGGAAGCTTCCAAAGCTTAAAGAGTAGTTATAATTGTTAACCCAATTTCTAGTTAATTTGCTTGAGAAGACCAACCAACTTTGAACTCTTACCAAAATAAACCCTTTGAATCTTCCACCTACAGGGTAGCCAAAAATACACCCCATGAAAAAGCACACAAAAGCACTCTCAGCAGGAGCAGAGCAGAGAACAGAGATCAGGTCATTCCATCGCCACAGTTCTGTCAATGCCGAGATAATGTGGCATCGCCACTGCGGCCAGTTTGATTTTTGTTTTGTTTTATTATTGCCGCCGTGGCGGCGCAGCTGGAACAAGTGCAACCAACAAGCAACAACCGACAGCAAGTGCAGCAGCGCACCTTTATGCGTTTATGCCGAACCCCCGATCGCCAGCCTTAAGGCAGACAGACACAGAGAGAGAGACCCAGAGACCCCTGCTTCGGACCCTATGCTAATTAGAGCGACGGCCTCGGCCTTGTTTTTATGCGCATTTTAGCGTGAATTGTCCCACTCTCTCTCTCTCAGGTCTGTCTCTCTCTCTCTCTCTCTCTATCTATCTCGCTCGCTCTATCTTTTCCCTGGTGCATAAATTTTCTGCTCCACGTCAGCATACATGTATAATGTATAATTAATGCAGAAGGCCAACACAACAACACACATTCATGGGAAAATGTTGCAGCGGAACAAACGGTTAAGCGGAAATCGGAAATTGGGTCCTGGCCAGAAACGATACGAACGAACGAGTGTTTATTATGCAGCATACCCTGCAGCGGGATATCATAGCTATGTGCAGGAGCTTGGCATTTTAAATAAATTTAAATATACATATATTTACAAATAAATAAATACAATTAATTTTTCCTTGAAAAATGTAATTAAAATTGTTGTTTGGTTGCTAAGAGTATTTAATGTTTCGCTGCCAGCTGATCTGTCGCTTTTGCGTGTAACCGCAGGACAGGTGGGGTGGGTAGTGGATTGGGCAGCGGACAGGTGTGTGTGTGTGCAACATTGCAATCAAAAGCGTGATGGGGGAATCAAAATTGCTTCGTCTGAATGCCATACTGAACCAGAAAGGTCAGATATGTGACCATGGCGGAGAGAAAGAACAGGGTGAGCTCATTGGACACCTCGAACAGGCCCAAAGGACACACACGCAACTGCTGGTGATTGAGTCGGCCCAGAAAGATCTCCAGCTGCAAAAAAAAGGGAGACAGAAATTAAAACTTTGTTGGGGTGGGATTGGGATTGGGCACCCACCGTGATGTGACAGCTTTTAGTCTGGCCAACGGCATAGTTCTCCAGGCTCAGTCGACGCACCAAACGCGAACCACTGACCGCCACATGTACGGCCAGGGTCAGCAGGATCACGTCAATGAGCAGCTTGAGCACCAGGCCCCACAGGCTGAAGTGATACTCCCTGCGCATGATGGCATGGTAGGAGACCATCGCCATGGCGGAGAGATTTTGCACGAGGCTCAGGCATAGCGGCAGATCGAAGAGCTGCTGGAAGGAGCGTGTCACCTGGTGGATGCACTCGTAAATGGCCAGACACTCGTCCAGATTGGCTTGGGCCTGCACATCCGCCCCCTGGTGTGGCAGTGAGCTGAGCTGCGAGCGCAACTGCTGATCCACATAGCGATTCAACGCCGCATAGAGTACCCCGATGCTGAGGTAGGCCCACAAAGCAAAAATGCACGATCATGCCCGTGCCAATGGACGTGTACAGATCGCACAGCATTGTGAGCAACACCCAGGGCGAATACTGCAGCCGGAAGGCGAGGAACACAAAGGCCAGCGACAGTAGTTTGACGCTCAGCAGCGTCAGTTCCAAGCTGCCGCCAAAGCCCTCCTCCTCCAGCGTCGTCCCTGTCAGCCTCCTCAAGCGCCGAAAGAGCGCAAAGAAAGTGTTGATCAGGTGCAGGATCCTCTTCTCGTAGCAGAGCTGCAGCACCAGTATGATGGCACTGCACACCAGACAGCCGACCAGGCGCAGTCCAAAGAATAGCCGCAGATACCAGTCCGTGTACTGGTCGGCCCAGGCCCCATAGCTGTAGCCGTAGAAGCAGCTGCCCAGCACGCGGATCAGCATGGAGAGCCATTTGTATCCATTGCGACTGCACGCCACCAATTGGCAGTCATCATCCCGCAGCCCGATCCGAAATGTGACCACACCAAACACGGTGGCATAGTAGAAACAAACGCGCAGCAGACCCGCCGATATCCGCGGCGCGTTAAGCCAAGTGGAAACTCGCGGCATGACTACTGTGCTTCACAGGACGAGACTGTCATACATACATACATACATTAAATTCATTAAGTAATTAGTTTGACTGCTGATTGGATGTCCACACACATCGATTCTCACTCATCGGCACTTCAATTTGAAGGCTTGTTTACCCGCCCAGAGTACGATGATGGTTTTGGGTCTAGAAATTATAATAGAAAACAAAAAAAACTAATCCAATGCAGGCTAAGACTATTGTAATTATATTAACAGTATTTGATTGCAGATAGATATTTTAGATGTGTGGCCTTCGGAAAAGAAGAAGTACGATTATGATAAACCAGGGATAAGTTCGGCAACTCTGAACAGCTCGTTTGGAGCATACTGGATATATTTCGATAAATTCTATATTTAGCAACACGCCCACACACCTCCCACCCTCACAGGTATGACAACAATTACGTTGTGGCGCGGTAAAAGCCAAAAGTCAGGAACATATAAATTAAAACCCAAATCTAAACATCTAAATAAAAAAAAATTAGTAAAAATAAAATAAAACGAGGGGGGGGCCCGCGCGGGGGGGGGGGGGGGGGGGGGGGGGGGCTGTTGGGGGGGGCACTGTGCCGCCCGCGCCGGGGGGGGGGGGGGGGGGGGGGGCGGGGGGGGGGCGGGGGGAGGGGGGGGCCGGTAAAACACCCGATTTTCCTTGGAACAATTGCAGTTCAAGGAAAATATCACCAAGGTCGAGTATGTGTTTGAATCATCAAGTGTGTAAGTGAATAGTGAATAAAATTTTATTTTAATTTTGCCTGTTTGTTAGGGCCAATGCGGATCATACAACATTCACAATCGATTGGTTTGTATGCCATACTGCATCACATAGGTGAAGTAGGTGATCATGCTGGACAAAAAGACCACAATGATCTCGTTGGAGACCTCAAACAAGCCCAAAAAACACACACGAAACTCGTTGAAGTTCAGGCGACCCAGGAACATTTCCAACTGCAAAGAAAAAACAAAACATACCCAATTATAGCAACCGAATTTCCATGGTAGAATTCAATGTCAGACCTTTACATGCCACTCCTGCTGATCGCTGACTGGAAAATTCTCCAGGCCCAATCTGCGTATGACTCTGGAGCTGCTGACCGCCTCGTGGGCGGCCAGCGTTAGGAGTATCACATCGGCGAAACCCTTCAGCACCAGGCCCCACATGCCCGCCTGCCTGGGATACCGATCGGCGCGTATGATCACCTCGTAGGACAGCACCGTGGTGGCAAAGATCTTGGCCATGAGTATGATGAGTACCGGCAGCTGGAGCAGCATATGAAATGATCTGCCCACACGTTCGATCTCGTCGTAGACGGCCACGCACTCGTCCAGGCGGCAGCGGGCCAATCTCAGCTGACGGCGACTGGCAGGCGGAGCGCCTGGACGATCCAGCGAACGCAGCTGACGTCGCAGCTCAATGCGAACATACGCGTTGACCTCCGCGTAGAGGGCCGCCACACTGAGGTAGCCCACAAAGCCGATATGTATGATCATCAGGGAACCAATTTCGACTATGATCTCGCACAGAATGGTCAGCAGTGCCAGTGGACTGCGAGCAAACAGCAACAGTTGACACTCGCAGAGCAGCTCGTAGAAGAGGCAGACGCCTTTGAAGAGGATCAGAACAAACTCCCGCTTGCCACCAAAGCCGATTTTCCTCCGCGACGACGACATTTGACGCACACGTCGAAACAGCCGAAGGAAACTGTTGATCATGCGGAGCACCTCGTGCTCGTGAAAAAACTGCAGCACCACGATGCAAGCGGTGCAAACGAAACAGGCCACCAGTCGCATGCACTGCAGCGTCCACTCGTAGGGATCCTCGATTGCGACTACCTGTGGCACACAGAAGCAGCCAACCATTGCAGCGCAGACGATGTGCAGGATCAGAGAGTACCACTTGAGCGCGAAGTTCTTGCGTGCCACCAAGGCACCATCGCTGGGTCCTTTCATTGAGATGCCAAAGCAGATGACGCCCAGGACTCTGGCGTAATGGTAGCTAAGGCGTAGGATATACGCGGAGAGCCGCGAAAGACGCACATCTCGAAGGGACACGTACATGATGAAGACTGCTGCGACACATTGGAGTTCATGAGCCTTCCTCCTGATTATGTGCTTTATTCGGGGTATACCAATTTAGTTGGCATAATATTTGTATAAACTGTGCAAGCAGCGAATCAATCAATTAACTGATTACAGAAACTGATTCACTATTGCCATGCCACCTTTGACTGCATTTCATATTGTATGATGTATATTAGAAAGGTGACCAGAGCGGAAACGAACACCAGGACCAGCTCGTTGGAGATCTCAAACAGACCCAGGGGACGCACCCGAAATTCGTATAGATTCAAATGTGTCACAAAAATATCAAACTGAAAGATGAAATCAATGATGGATTAATTATGCATCTACAGTTACCGATAAACTTACCATCATGTGCCAATCTGCGTGGTCGCTGACATGGCAGTTCTCCAAACTGAGCCGCCGAATGACCCTGAACTGAGTCCTGGCACCATCCACAGACAAAGTCACAAGCAGCAAGTCTAGAATCACTTTGATTGTCACCGCACCGAGCAGCACTTTATGCTCATCGAACCAACCATCGATAGTCAGCTTGTAAATGATGACACCAAGCAAAATATAATTGTGAATGAAGGTCAACAAGAACGGAATCTCGATTAGCTGCTGAAACGAAGTGGCCAGGCAGTAGATCTCCCTATAGAGGGCCAAGCACTCATCCAGATGGCGGCGTACAGTCCTCAACTGTTGGCGTCCCGGCTGTAGTCCGTGCGGCCGTTCCAGAGCCTGCAGTTGGCCGCGCAACTCGCAGCGGACAAAATCGTTCAGCTCGGAGTAGAGCAGCCCCAGGCTGAGATAGCCCAAAAAAGTAATGCCCATCATTATGCTGGAGCCGAAGACGACAAAGGTGTTACACCACCAGATCAGTATGCTCTCTATTTGTCCTAAAGCGTATACCATTTCATGGATGCGGCAGCTCAATGAGAGGAGCAACAGCACCAGCTCTCGGCAGCCCCCATAGCCAAAAGTTCTTCGCTTGGGTAGAGCTCGAAGGCGACGGAAGAGGCGCAGACAGGTGTTGACCAATTCAATTGATTCTGTTCTGTACAAGAGCTGCAGGCGAATAATGCAAATGCAGACAAGTGTGATGATTACTAGGCCCATATAATGCGACACTCTCTCCAAATAATCCTCCAATCGAACGATCCATAGACAGTTTGAATAAACAAATGTGCCCATAATCACCATCCGATAGATGACACAGAACCACAGCCAGCAAGGACAATGGCAAGCTCTCAGTTCCATCACCAAATGTCCATTGACGCTTATCCATTGTCTGTCCACTTTAAGCTGACGATTGCCATGAATCTGGCGTGGTAATACAGCACGAGTAGGATACCCGCGGATAGTTTGGATGCACTCATTTCACGTAGAACCCCCAACATGACTGGATTGGTGTCGAATTGAAAAGTATTTGCGGCAGCACAGTGCACACTCGAAGTGCATTTTACTAATGAAAATGTAATCAATACTCCGATAAGATCTCTGTTGACAGCAGCTTACCCCCGGAGGACAGGTGTTGATGGGTATTTTTATTGGACGCAGAAGATCCACATCAAAAGGCTGTCACTGCGACACATCGCGACTTTTGGGAACTGTCCCTCCAAGCCAACCAGACAGCTGGTCACAAAGAAGTAGTTTCCTGCAACAACAAAAACATACAATTCAGAATAAATATTATAGAAATTTATTTTTTTTAAATACATTATTTAATTTTTTTATACAAAATACACCCGTTAAAAAGATTCCAGGCTTTTCCTTACTTAACGAAGTATTTTTGGTCAGAAATGGTACAAGTTCCACTAGATAAATTTATTCTTAAGGGCCACGGTAATACGTTTATCCTATTGTCTTAATATGACGTACACAACTTACTAGTTCAGCCAATTAGAAGTCCATTAGTGCGATGTTCATGATCTTTGTAGCATTTCATAAATCTTAAAAATCTTTGCGTGTATTGTTGAGCATCGGATCTCGACATCTCAATAATGAGATCAGATCGGTTGTTTTTTCATTTTAAGATCACGTTTCCCTGCGATCTATATGGTACGCTGCTCCCCTCACAGAGTTCTTTCTACACACTATAATATCTGGCATTTGCTGGCATTTTGATTCACACGCTCACGATCCGATCCGAACCGATCCTGGCTCTAAGCTTGCTCTCTGGCTCTCTGGCAGCCACTGCGCCCTCCTTCTGGCAATGTAAATGACGCCCCCACTTTATGCTGTACGTGATCTTCTTATACAGTATCTTTTGTGCTACATCTTTGTTGGGATGTTGGGATGGGGATGGCCTAACTGGGCCCTGCACGATTACAGCGCGCAGCGATTTGCGTCCGTCCGCATCTGAGAGATCTTTCAAGTCTGTCAAGCAGGGGTCCGGTCCACACACCCCCGCCCATCCCATCCCATCACATATCTCGTCTCTTTGTCTGACATTTGAAAAGAATTTTCACGTTGTATGAGTTATTTTTTGTTCACATCTTCTTCTTGGTGTTTTTTTTGTTTTGTTTTTTTTGTTGGTAGGCAATTACAGTAACAACAAGAAGAAGAGGAACAACTACAGCAGCAACTCTCGAGCACGTACATTTTCCGGCATTGTACGAAAATTGTGGGAACAATCAACGAAATAAACAAAAGTGCTTTGCATGCCGTTGATTTGTGCTGCAAATTGCTTTGGACTGAAATTACGACAACAACAAGAAGAAAAACAAAAAAAAAACAGCTTAACTTTGCCGGAGCCGAAGCTTCAAATACACTTTTGGTAGGGCAGCGTCTTATAAGGTTTCAGAGCACCAAAAACTTTTCTTACCAAAACTCGACTTACAAGCGATCCTTCGTGTAGCAACTGCTGATATAATTAAATAATTAAACCAGAGGCTGAACGATCGAAGTATGTTAGATACCCTTTTGCAGTGCATTCCATATGCCCATATAGGGACGGCAGCCAGAGCAGCAACAGCAAATGAGCCGAGTAGAGCCAAGGAAATGATGCAAAGCCACAACTTGGTCAGCAGATTAGAGCACTGGTCGATTGCAGGGATCCCCTGTGCCAGTGGAGCCCCTTCCAGACCCTGCTTGACCTCACGTTGAACAGAGCCAGGCCAGACACGCAGCCTCAACGCAGTGGCAGCTGTGCGCGGGAATCGGAGGAGGGGCGTTGTAGTGAGTAGACTTCAGGGTTGATTGATTTCAATTGCAGCTAGGAACAGTGCGCGTCGTCTCAGATGGCCTTGGCTCGCTTTTCACGCTTTTCCAGGCATTGCACTTAGGACCAGTCTCCGCACCCCTCCGCACCTCTGACATTAATGGTGATTAATGGAAAAATGAAATGTAATTAAATTTGTTTTTTTTTGTTCCTTTTTTGCTGGGCTATAAATTATTTGCGATTTTGCAGACGGGCCGTTTGGTTCATTGCAAAAGCAAAAAACAGCAAAAACAACGGCAACAACGGCAATGTGAAAGCAAAGAGAAATAGCGAAACGACAATAACAACAGCAACAACAACGGCAGGCTTAGTGGGTACCGTTACAGCAAGAGAGCAACAACCAGCGAAGGAAGACAGGCGAAAAGCAGCAACAACAGCAACAAATCAGCGAGGCCAACGTCATAAATTTTGCCTTTGCAGCTTTGAATTTATTGCGAGGCGAATGCAAAAGCAACGAAAATGCGGCCAACGCAGAGTACAAACACCTCTACACCGGGGGCTCTGTTTCTGTTCAAAGTGTATTCGTATAAGGTGCGGCATTCGAAAAGAGTGAGTGCGTGCTGTGCTCCTTTTATTAGGACAGCCTCAACAACATCCAAAAGAGTATGGAATTCGAAGATCGAAAATACCTCACCTTGTATAAAATATACCGTGCCAGACTTCCTAAGTTTCGTGTGCGTGTGTGTGTGTGTGTACTGCATTGCGATTGTAGCCATTAAAATCTTGAAATTGCATGCTAATAACCGTACCCTGGCCCGCTAGTTAAGTGGGCAAATATGTGCAAATGTTGTACATGCTCGTTACTAAATGCAAGCATGTAATTTGCCTCTTTTCGCAATGCCATTATTACATATTGCATTCTTGATTCGCTCAGCCGCCTCTAAGCAGTAGAGTAGAGAGAGGGAGATGTATATGTACATATGTATGTATGTGTGTGTGTGTGTGTGTGTATGCATTTTGCTATGCCTAGCAACAACAAACGGAAAGAAAGTAGCTTCGTGTCGTGGCAAAGTTTTGATACTCAGCTTTAAAATTTGGAAAAACAATTTTAAATTTTTATTAGCGTTATATAATAATAATAATAATTAAGAATTGAGAAAACTGATTACAGAAGAAAAAAATCATTTAAACATTAAAAATACTTCTAGGAGTCGGAAATGCTTTTCTGATCAGCGTTACAAACATCTGATAGAACACATAATGACCTCTGCAGGGTACTTTAGTTTTCTATGTGTATTAGTTGTGGGACAAAACGAAGCTGAGGCACAGGCAGACAAAACCCAGTGGCAGGCAACAGCGGCTGGGGGGGACGGGGGCCAGCATCAATCATCATCAAGCCAGGCCATAGTTTTGGATCTAAGGCCCCTCTCTGACGGCGCGATCTGCCGGAAGTCGCAGCCAATCTAATGTTAAGTGCCCACTCCACTCCACAAGCTACGCGTAACAGAAAAATTACGACTAGAAAGCATTTTCCCCATAATTTGTTTTTTTTAGTGTTTGAACCACAGTGGAGCCTCTAATGGGTGTGGATAGTGATTGATGAAAGAGTAAAGGAAGATGGCTTCGACTTCCTCTGCTCTCGCGCACTGATTGAACACCCAACTAATGGATTTGACCCTAATTAATACAGTGGAATCTCTTAGGGCAGACCAGTCAGATCCCTGAGGCGGCGAGATCTCTCTGTCTCATAGACTAACATCTCTATTGGGGCAGATTGAAGTCTTGAGTGTAAGCTGTTGTTCCCGGGAGCTGGTTTCACTGTAAGTGCCAGATGGGAATAATATTGGAATATTTAGTAGAGAAAGGCTGGAGCCTCCTACTAGATGAGGCTTTGCTGTGCGTTGAAATGTAGTCCGTGGCTCCATTATATTTTCATTTAATCCCTTGATTATATGGGCGTACATTTCAATCGTTGCTTTTTCACCATAGATTGCTTGTTTCCTCCTAGACGAGGGTTCACTGTCCGTTTCATCCGTAGCCCGAGGCGACTACGCTGAGTCATTCCTTCTTTCTCCTTCCCTTTCTCCACTCGAGTGCTCCGAATTTTCTTTACGCTTCAGACACACACACAAATCATGCCATCCCCAGCGGAAAAGGGCCCCCAACCCCAACCAAAACTATTTCGTAGGCAAATAAAAAGCTTTTAAGATCTTTTTTGTTTTACATTTGTATTTTTTAAAGATTTTTTTTAAGGTTTTTTTTTGTTGTTTTGTTTGCGTAAGTTTTACAAAATTTGTTGTTAGTTTCGTTGCAGGGAATATACACAATGCTTTTGTTGTTTTTTTGTTGTTTTTTTTTTCTTTTCTTTCGTTTAGCTGCTTGGGAGTCAAAGTCCCATACAATATACACAGGTTGGTTGTTCAAAATAACATATTTGGAGGAGGAGTCGAAAGCTTAGGGAAATAATTTTGCAGAAATAATATACATACATACAGACTCGTACATGGATGATAGAATGTAGAGATAAAAATTTGTCACAAATGGGGCATAGGACACACAACACAATCAAATCAAACTGTGTGCGTGTGTGTGTAAGAGCTTAAAGAGGGATTTGTTTAAATAATTTCTGTTATAATTACATTTTAATAATTGAGATCATGACACAAAGTACATTTCAAATACTTCTGGCACACGCGTGCATCAGTGCCCCGAAACACGCTGAGAACGCTTGAATTTTTTTTTGGGAAGGTGGGGGAGGGGCTTTGTGAGTGTGTTTGGGTTCAGGGGGGGGCTTATCTAGTATCTAATGGATGCATAGCAAGAGATCGTACAGATGCAATTTCCTAATTAAAATTTAATCTATCATAAAAGTGCTGCTACCAATTGAAGTCTTTCGTTTTGCTATAATTTACGTATGCTAATGCACGGATATAAATATCTCTATATAAATATAAATACATATATATATCATCATCATAATTTCAATAGTTTTTTATATCTATCGCTATGCATCCGGGTATTTTCGCGTACGTTTCGGCTGCTGTGCTGCACGCGCGGTTGATCTTTTTGTGTTGTTTTTCGCTTTTCGTCTGCTTTTGAGCGCTTTTCGATTTGGCGCGCTTTTTTTGTTGGACAACATTTTGGGATCGTCAAGTCTTTGTTTAAACAAGTATATACATAAAAGCTTTATGCATACGTAAATATAAAAAAAAAAACAAATCACTTTTAAAACATTAAAATTACGTTCACAATAAATATAATATATTGCAATGGTTTTTGCGGCTGCTCCTGCGGCTGCACGACTCGTCCTACTCGTCTTTCTTCACAATCGTCCCGATTTCTCTATTACCACTATCCACAGCCCGAGGGTGACAGCTATTGTTGTTGTTGTTGGGACAGTTGTTGTTGTTGTTGCTGCTGCTACTGCTGACGTAACTCTTATTTGTGTTGCATTTTGGCACATTCGAAATTACTTTGGGGGCCTTGCGCTCGCGGTAAAATTCTGAAACGATAACGGGCGAAAAAGGAAAAGTGGCAATTAGTCACAGTGCAGGCCTCGCATAAATAGCTGTAAAGGAAATGGAAAAACACAAACAGAATGCCATACAACAATTAAGAGGGAAATAGTTGATATTCCAACGAAATTATACCCTCTAATTTATTTACACTAAAACGAAATATCTAAATAAAAAATAAAATGGTAGAGCAAATAAGTCACATAACTTTGGAATTATGTTTGTTTAACTCTTATGATTTCCGAGATTTATTTGCATACCTACCTGTTGCATACCTACTTGAAACATATACATATGTACATACATATGTATATACCCTCTACAAATACACAGTGCAAATAGAAAAAGCAACACAAGTTTCAGCGGAATTTTTGACCTTCAGAAGGCAAAAGGGAAAGCAATGCAAACTGTAATTGCGAACTGCACTTGGAGAGTGGAGGGGGAGGGAGCTTTCTTATCGCACATGAGAGTGAGTATGCCCCTACCTTTTCTCTCTACCTGGTCATTGGCGATAGAGGATAAATGTCATGGGCAGTCGTCGCCATTGCCACGACAGCATGAGGCAGCGCGATAGCTGCAATCGCAAAAGTGCAATGCTGTGGTGTGGGAGGTGGTGGTGGGTGGAGTGAATGATATAGCGCTTAATGGAAGAACAAGGAGAGCAGGCAATGAATGGTTATGTGGTGTAATCATTGAGCGTAAGCAGCAACGCATGCCAAATGCGTTCTAAATGGCACATCAACCTTGATGTTGTTGCTATTTTTATAGCTTTTTATATACATATACATATCTATATGTATGTATGTATGTATGTATTTACACTCCATAGTATCTCAATTGGACAAGCCGCAGCTGCGGTCGGTTGCTTCATCACGTAAACCGCTCTAAAGCTTAGACACTGGGGGCTCCAGGCAGGCAGGCAGGCAGGCCATAGGCAAACATCAGACACTGCGCAGTGACCTAAAAGCGACTAGCAGCAGCGACGCAGCCGCAGATGACGACGAAAACCGCGCTTGCGGCGTTATAATCAAATGTACAGTTATAGAAAATTATAAGCCAAGCCAACGACAACGACAAAGAAGTTGAAGCGAAACGGGGCAATGAAGAAGAGTGGGAAGAGTAGGATCGCAAAGCGTAGTCTTTGTCGTCGTTGTCGGCGATTCTCTTAATGTAAGGGAGAGGGTGGTGGTTAGCCACTGTAATAGGCGGGGGGCGGAGCGCGAATGTAATTTACCGTTATCACTATAAGCACGCAGCTTTGAATCTCTCCCAAGCACACACACATGCAGGCCGAACATTACGCTTTCTACACACACGAATACAATCAAAAGGCACCACAAAAGATATGAGAAATCTGTGGAAGAGAGGCGCAACAACAAAACGCGTTTTGTTTACGAAATGTGTGGGGAGAGGGCACACCGATGAAAACAGGAACGGCAACAAAATAATATACTCATAAATATTTATATGGGAAGAAGCAAGTTTCAGCATACATAATTTGTATACATATGTATGTACGTACATATGTGCATAAGTATGTGTGCAAGCTTTCGAAGAATCTCGGGCCTTATTGGGGCGAGGCGTGGTAAAAATCCCAAGCAAAACAAAAAGCACAAAACAAAGCGCTTCTAACTGTGAAGTACAGTGGTGGCCAAAACATGGCCAGACAAGATGTGTGCGAGAGCAAAAGCAAGAGCTTGAGAGCGCGATGGAGATAACAGAACATGTCTAATTGTATGAGATTGTATTCTCTGGACCTGCCACAAATGCTGCCTACTGAGCGCTGCTGTACTTACGCGATCAGTGCGTGACCTTCACGACGAGTTTTGAAAAACAACATCCACAACATGCGTGCGCTCGTAGTACTACGCATAAACACACAGACACGCGTACGCGCACACACTCTCAGCTCGCTTATCAGCCGAGGAACCACTAAAAATAAACATGAAAATACAAATTCGCGCCAAAATGGAAAAAAACACCATCAGCAGGCTCCATTGGCTCCTCGTGCGCCAAGACAAACAAAACGCGAAGTGGAGGCCAGCTTGGGAGCCGAGGTGCTTGATACTCTTGCAAGATCCATCGTTCAAATGGTACGATACACGATATACGATTCTAATGATATAATACAAGCTTTAAATTTTATAAATATTTAACAAAGTAATGGAGAAACGTTCAGATCGTTCAGTTTGGAAACAATTTACTAATAAATGTTTTATATCAATTCCTATCGAGTGGTTTGCGTTACAGCAGACAGACAGACATGGGCTCACGTCATTTATCTCTTATGTAGGAATGCTTTATTTTCTTAATCACAAACCAGTGGTCCATTTATAAATACCCTCTGCAAGGGTGTATGGAATACCTCCTCAACGAATGAGAGGTTGAAAGAGGAGCAAAAAGTGAGAGAGAGAGAGCGCGAGCAGCCTGATTGTCTATACGCGCGCGCGCGAATGTGTGTGTGAGTGGGCTGACGTCGTATAAGAGTGACGCCGCTGTTGAGATTGCGTTTGTCGTTGTGGGTGCGGCCGTAAACAACAACAAAAACAACAAGAACAACTACAACTTATGTACAGTCGCTCGCTCTTGGCAGGCGTGTGCCAAGTAGTTGTTGTTTTTTTTTTTATGTTCAGCATGCACACATATGCACATGCACAACATCAGCAGCAATAAGGCGTTGGCGCTGATTTTAATTTAATTGAGGCCTCTCAATTAATTGCTCTGCAGCAGCAGCAGCTGCACTCCCTGACGCAATCACCATCACCGTCGTCGTTGTCCGTAGAAAGATTATGGGATGCACAGAATCTAAAAAAATATCTTTTTGGCGCGCAGAACGAAACGGGATTGTTATTCAACAGTTTATTTTCCCCCATACGTACAGTCTGCGTGTTTGTTTTTCGCCAAGACAAACTGGCGACAGATATCAGCACAAGGCAGCGTTTTTTTTTTTCGATTATTCCTTTGTCTGATTGCACTCTTCTCAGATATCAATGGAAACAACCCATACAACAAAGGTATGTCAATATGCTCAGACCTTGACCAACGGAATTGATAACAGGCCAAAGCCCGAGCCCGAGCCAGAGCCAACAAAAGCAAAATGTGAATCAAATTGAGTGTAAGAATACGACGAGCAAAGTGGGGACGAAAACAAAGGTCTATCAAAACAAAAACTGAAAAAAAAACGAAAAACGAAAAGCGAAATGAGCGCGAAACGAATGCAAAAGTTATCACTATTAAGAGATGGTTGTATGGGAGGGGGGAGAGACGCTAGAGGGAGAAAGAACCCTTCGGCAAACCACACATAACACTGCAGTGTGTACACAGTTGTGGTAAACAGTTCTAGTAGGGTTATATGTATTACAGTTATTACAGTAGTGGCCACAAATTAGAAATATGCAGCGCTACTAATCAAGTAATCCGAAATTATCTAAGCACCCAATATCGTAATAGAAAGATAGTGTAGCTGTTGTAAATGAGTCGAGCATTTACATTTGTATACGTAACCCGATTAGAAACGGCCACGAAACGATTTTAATTTCTAAGCGGACACTGGCGCATCTCGAATTACAGTTCCCCAGCAACCGTAACCATTAACAATAAGAAAAAAAAAAAGAAAAAACGAACGAAAGGGAAGCAAACGAGGCGAATGACAAAACTAACAACAAAATCACACACAAGGGTGGTTTCTCACCCAAATTAGGGGTTGACTGCCATGCCAGGCAAAGCGAGGGAAAAAATAGAATATAAGAGGAAACCGTAAATAAACGTAACCAAAAGGGAAACGAAAATCAGGTGCTCCCAGTTGGAGGAAATCCTACGAATCTCACCTTTAATCCCTTGAGGAGGACGTCCGTACGGCTTCTGTCCGTGTGATCTGGTCAGGTTGGTGCGTTCAGCGCAGCTGGTGATTATCAGCTTGGCTGTGGTTGCAATCTGGCTGGGCGTCAGTGCCACCCCCGCTGGAAAGGGCTCCAAGGGCTTCGCCTGACACTTGGACAAGAGCCTGTGCGCCCGGTTCAGCTCCTGCTCGCGCCTATCCTCGGCCACAATATCCACGCCGTATTGCCGGTGGACGCGTTTCCGCCCTTCTTCAGTCACATAGGCCAGCCTCTTGTTGATGTCGACGCCAACCTCGTTCGCATCGGTCCCAAACAAATTGCGGCAGGCGCGACTGGCCACGGCCACCGGGGTGGGGCGGCGTAGCTCAGCAGATGCCAGCGACTGCCTCGACCATACCGGGGGCACCTGAATGGGCGCCATCGTGCACTTTGCTATATTCTTCCTTCTTTCACTTGAGTTGGTTCCCCTGTTTCTCTTGTTTGCTTTGCAGTACTTTCTGTATCGCTTTCTGCTTTCTGCTTTCACTTGAACTTTTCTTTGTACTACTTGTGTTGGACTTTTCTCCTCATTACAGACACAGCGGGAACGGGCGAGAAAATCAGCTGGCGGAGAAGTCACGTACCGTGCTCGAGAGCATTTTTAACGAAATTGCAAAAACGGCTGTTTTAATTGCTTTTCTATTGGCACATTTCTTGCGGATTTGAATTATTTTTTTTTTTCTACACTTTGTGGGTGATATTTTTGTTTAGAATTCGAAGCGAAATTCGTCACTATTTTGTTGTTTCATTGCTACTCAATTGTTAATCACGAAACTCAATTTTAGTTTCTAGCTGGTTGTTGTTCATTTGTTAAACAAACACAAACCGCGCTATACGTGCATATTTTAGCGAACTTTAGACTTTTATTTGAATTTTCGTTCACGCGCGCCCAACAACCGTTCGGTTCAAATTTATTTTTAATATTAACATTTTTACGCCAGTTCTCTTCTCTTAGTCTCTGTTGATTTTATTGACCGCGTATACATGTTGATAAGTGTGACCACTTATCGTTAAAATATACGGTCAGACGCTCCGAAATATACCGAAATATACCACAAATATACTGACGGACAAGACCAGATGCGTTGATATTCCTCGATTTTTATATTCGGTTTAATATAACTAGCTAGATAGACCAATCAGCACTAAACAAATAATTTTATCCGATAGATACATAAGTTTTTTAAGAGATTGGCAAGTTTTCAGAAGTCCTTTTTATTGGATTATTTACATATTAAGGTTCAAACAAAAACGGCCAAAGCATAAAACTTAAATGTTGACTAAATGTGACGTCACATGTTGCTGGTCAACCAAGTATCTTCTATGCGTATGTACTTTTGCATACCTTATTTCTTTTAATTGGTGTTAAATGTTTTGTTCAAAGCTCCATTGAAACATTATTTATGATTTTATCCTAGATTGACATGTTTTTTACATATTAATGCACATGTTTGTGTGTTATAAATACATTTATCCCGGTTCTGATACCTATTATTGGTAGTCGTGAGCTGCAAAACTTTGTTAAAATCTTTAGAACAGAGACTGAGTAGTTTTTGCATTAATTGGAGCCTGAAAATTCAAACAATATCCCAAGTCCATAATATCCATTTTCCCAAGGTATGCAGATTGTTGCTCATTCCGTGCCAAAGTTGCACAACAATGCTGCTACTTCATTTCCCCATGTTGCTGAGAGTTTTGCAAACTCTCCACGAATTGAGAGCGAAAAATGTCAGTATTTTTTGGTGCGCTAAATTGAGTTTGGCGGTCAATTTGAAATGTGTCTTAATATTTGGAAAAATAACTTGATTTGTTTTGTCGAGTGACCTAAGAAACCGAGAACCAGTAACCAGTAACCAGTAAATAAAAAAAAAAAAAATTAATAATTAATAATTTTTTTAGATAATGAAATGTTGCTGACATGCTGGGATTTCGCTCTCTTCTTCTCACCATTGCGTTAATAGTGCTCGTTCTCTTAAAAATAACTTTCGCTCTCTTTTAAAAAGGGGCAAGAATACGTTCTGTGACGTCATATTTGTTTACCCAACAAGGTACCAAACCACAAATTCAAACATACAACATAGATTCAGATTTTAGCGTGGTTTTTATCTTCCTTTTATGTTAACACAATCGCGATTTATTTATTGTTGCATAAAATAGGATTTTCCAGGACTTTCAACAATTGTCTTTTCGATCAAATGTAATATATATACGATAAAGCGTTCTCCAAATCAGTTCAAAATTGGTACCCTTCTGCTCTGCTTTATCATGATTCATCCCCTTCGCCACCTCAATGTTCAGAGCAGGTTGCTTTAAGAGAGTTGTTGAAATTCAAAGAGCGCCTTATCACTAGACGTTTGTTAATTGATTTCTCAATCATATGTAGGTACATATATACATATGTATGTATGTGCATACCACATGCCTTATATGGGATGTAACAAATAAAGAAAGTGAATTTTCCGCCTTTATGATATGGACATGTAAACATAATTAGATATGCCAGCTTATACATACATACATATGTGATGTAAATATTTGTGTGTGCTTGATCGCTGTTGTTGTACCAAGTTAATAGGTTTACATTGTTTTGGGCCCATCTCCAAGGTCAGACCTAGTGACATGCGTTATTAAACAGCCTAATGGCTAGAAGCAAAATACAATACAAAGCAACAAAATGTAAAAGTAAAGCAAAAATAAAAACTAAAACAAAAAATAAAAACACTTTCGCGCTCACGGCGTTGGAGCGTAGCAACAACAGTAGTTAGCACGAACGAAAGTGAAAATAGTTGAAAAACGGCACAGAAATTATAAATACAACTGTGCTATGTATGTATGTATGTATGTATGTAGGTAGGTGGAAGTGGCAGTGAAACTGGGAGTGGGAGTGGGAATAGCGGATCAATGTGGGATGAACGTATTTTCAAATAATGCTGAGTCATCAGTGTGGCAGCAGCAGCCCAACAGCTGGAATTTGGTGGCCTGGCCTGGACGCCCCCTGTCTTCCTTTGGCTTTGGCCGCGCCGATTAGTCATTTTCAAGTGTGGCCCCAGACAAAGGATTTATTTATCATCATATTTCTTTTTGGCGCGATGTCCAAATTGGGAACGGAGGAGGGAGTGTGTGGCAAGTACCTGCCCGACCGATGAACAAGGGTTCAGGGGTTGAGATTTGGGCACGGGCACAGGTCGGAGAATGCAAAAACCATCCCTCGTGCCAAAAAAAAAAAAAATACGCACACACTGGAGAGAATGTGTGAAAGTTGCAGGATCCTTCCTCCTTCCCCCTGATCCAGCGGACTCCCTTTCACGTTTCACGTTAACCCCTGACGATTGACGACGACGACAGCCGCTGCGTAATTTCTGTGAAAATGCGTTTCAGCTTTGCACCGATTTGAATGCAGGGCTACACACACACACACACACACCCCATGCAAGTGCGCGCGTGTGCGTGTGTGTATTTTTATCTGCTCTATGTACGTGTTTGTGTCTACTGGCGGCTACTTTTCGTCGTCACTTCCGCCGAAAGGAAAGCAAAGCAGCTTGTCATTGGAAAAACTCAAGCTGTTTTCGGGGCCTGGGGCTACTATGCTGCACGAAATTAGTGCATTGCCCACGTACTAAGACGTGACGTAAGCGGAAGACAACGGGAACTCTCGCTCTCTGGTCGCACGCGCTGGTCATGAGGTTAAGTGCGCTGCAGTTAATGTTATTTGTTGCCATGGAGTGAGAGTAAAAGAGTGTGTGGACCAAGGGGGGGTGGTTGGCCTGCTGACGTCACGTGCCTCTAATTAATAAATGAGCTCATTAAAGAATTCACTCTCTCTCTCTCTCTCATCTCTCTCTCTCATCTGCAGGCGCTCTCTGTGTTTGTGTAGGTGTGTGCAACGTGCAATTGTATGTGAATAATGTTTTGGGAGCTGCGTGTAATTCCCCCAGTTCTAGGGTCCGCCTGTCAGCTATTTTTAGTGCGTGCGCGCGTGGGGTGGGGTGTCTCTGTTTGTGTTTCGCCCTCGTCTTTGACATGCATCATAAATTCTGCCTTCTACCCACCCCACCCCACCCCACCAACACAGACACACAGATGCAACCTGCCCCCATTGCTTTGTCTCCATCCCACTCTCCTTCGCTCCCGCTCTACCTTTGCTGTGCCTTTTTCTTATTTCATTTTTTGAGCCATCTGTAAATTTTTGCGCCAATTTCTGCGGCTGCTGCTGCTGTTGCCCTCATCATCATCTCAGACAGAGAAAGAAATAAATATACACATACAGACAGAGAGAGAGAGAGAGAGGGGCATCGTGAATACCTGCTGCTAGTAATTTTGAGCAAAAATTTATTTTGCGCCAAAAACCAAAACCTGAATCTGACACAGCCCGGTGCACGATACACGGTGCATGGTGCCAGAGCCGGCCCCGGTGCCCGGTGGCACTCTCTTCCCGTTTCCGCACTTGAAATACATCCACACAACACACATCCTCGGCCTCCGCCCCATACCCTGCCACAGCCACACATTGGGACATCTTGTTGAGCTGCTGCTCAAGCTGAAACAAGTGCTTTGGTTTTTTTTTTTGTTTTCTTCTTTCCTTTCTTTCAGGTTTCACTCGCAGGCGGCGAGACGGCTCAAAGAGAATTCTCGTTTTTGAGCCGCCAAAAGTAACATCTGCTCCCCAAAAAGCATAGACATGGGCCCCGGAATTGTCGTTTTTTATTTCGTTTGGGTTTCTTTCAATTTTTGGCATTTGGGAAGAGTCAGGGCAAAGGGTTACGAAGAGTTTGGATTGAAAGGGATATCAGAGTCACCAATCAAGGGGATAGCATCCATCGGAGACGCCTTGGGGATAGGATAGGATTACATTCTGCTCTTGAGCGACCTCAGGAATGGGCAAATCAATCCTAATTGGTGGGGCATTGTTTTGTATGTTTTGTTTCTGGAAGGGGAAGCATTTCAAACTAGAAGAAAATGATTATGCAATTAATTTAACTATTGAAATGAATTTATGTTCTAAGAAACAATTCTGTAACAAAAGTTATCAAGTTTCATCCACATTCAACGCCCATTGATACTCTAAAATCTCTACAGTTCTGCAAGCGCATTTGAACTTTGACTTTTCATATCTTAAATTGCCGTTTGCCCTTGGCCAGGCCGGGTCCGCTCCGTCACAAAACCCTGGCTGCCCTGCTGCGCGCTAATTTGCTTCATTTATCTTTCCTGCGTTCGGACAGCACCGAAACCCTGTCCCACTGTCTCCCATGCTATGAGCAGCAATACAATTACTCTACGTGACTCTTAGGGGCCTTAATTGCAGCACTGCCCCTGCCTCTGGTTCTGCCTGTGGTTCTGTTTCTGGTTCTGGTTGGAAGTCTCTCTTTTCTGGCCTCATAAATCTCACGCGCCTCCGATTGCAGCGAAAAGTGTCCCATTCTAAGTCCCATTGGCTGTGCAGCCATAGATAAGAGCCGGTAGCACCGCAATTAGGCATCGTCGTAATACGGTAATGGAGGGTACGATATCTGAGGTCTCTCTCGGGACTCTTTCTTGCAAGGAGTCCGACAGCAGCTGGCTGGTTTCGTGTGACCAACAGCCAAAGATCTGTTGACCAGTGTCCAAGCTCATAATTCACAGTAGAAGAAGGTGAGAGGCTGGTGCTGGTGCTGGTGCTGAGAGGCTGATGGGAGGGCTGGGCTGGGATTGGGCTGGGATATCGCATGTGTGAATTATGTCCAAAGTGGGTCGCGGTCGCGGGCATAAATCAAATGTGGCGGACCCGTACTCGTCTCCAGTGGGTCACTTTGGCTATGCCTCGATGGCCATTGCATGCGGCACGCCAATTGCAAGTTGCAACTTACAAGTTCTCCGATGCCGATGCCCGTTGCCGATGCCCGTTGCCGATGCCCGTTGCCAACTCGAAGACATGATTTCGACTCGAGTTGACCCACTTGTGTATATCTGGCTGGGAGTGCTTCTCAGGCCGTTATTTTTCACACCCAAACTGGTTGGGAATGCGAAAAACAACAAGCGACAATTGTCGCTGCCACAAATGGAGGGGAGATTCCGTCGTGGAGTGGCGTGGAGTGCCAGTGGAGTGGGTTCTAGTGGAGTTCGGGGCAGTCACTTGGAAAATGCTAAACAAAACCGACCGACTATGATACACCAGCATAATAATTGATCGCTGAGAGCTGGAGCGGCTTTCCAACTGGTTTTCCCACTCTCCCTACCCCTACCCGAATGGTTTTCCTTAATTTCCTGCATTTTATCCAGTTTTTATTGCCCTCGTCTTGGGCCGTTTTCCATTGTCTAAGATTTGTGCCTCAATTCTTCTCGTTTCTCTTTGAATTTTTTAAGCATTTTCCCTCGCACACAATCCAACTCAGACAAAAGATTTTCCAGTAAACTGAAAGTTGGGACCCCCCCCCTCTATTGAGGGTTGCGTTCGAATGAGTTATGGCGACCCCGCCCGGGCCGATCTTTTGCTGGTGGTGGTGGTGGCTGGCTGTGGCTTCATTTCATATGCATTTCAGATCAGAGCCAGACAAGCTCAGAGGGACGCCGAGGGTGGGGGGAAATGTGAATGGACTCTATTAATGAAATGCGATATGCGGTGCATGAAAAATCAAATGAGTTGCTTTCCCCACCCTCCTTAGCGCTGGTCCTGGTCTGGTCTGGTCTGGTCATTTTACTCCGCCTGTCAGTGTTTCGTTCCCGCTGTTGATGTTGATGTATCTGTATCTGTATATCTGTGTAGCCGAGTATCTGGCGGTGCGCTAAGCTGACAGCATCTGGTCAAGATGGTCAGACGTTCGTTCGCCAAGCGAAACTATTTCTGGCATATTACATTTCTCGTACAATTTACATGGATTGCGTTTGATGATGGACCGACGGCGCACGCGCCCTATGCCGGCAGTGTGGCCAGCTGCCCAAATATTTCGCCCTCGACTGTCAAACAAGTCGCTCAGCTATCGCCCTCTCCACTCCCCCCCCACACTTTTTTACAGCTGCATTCAGGATTGTTTCCCCTACTCCCACACTCCCACATCTAATTCAGCCTCTCTCTTTCTCTATCTCTCTCTGTCTCCCTCTGTTGGTGTGCCTCCTGCTTCCATGACTGGGCCCTTTGTCTGTCGTCGGCTTGCAGCATTTTTGTTTATTTTTATTGGCTGCTATTTTAGTTTGCTTTTCCTCTTGAATTTTCATTAATTTTTCTTTGTTTTATTCCGTTCGGTTGCTTGTCGCATGCCACCACGCCCCTGCTCGCCTGATGTCATTTGCATTACGGTAAACCAATGCACATGCACACATGCTGCGTACATGTTGTGTGCTCGTGTGTGTGCGTGTGTGTGCGTGTGCTTTCCCAGCCTGTTTAACAATTGCGTATTGCCTCCTGGGCAATGAAAAATACACAAAGGAATATGTAAACAAATGAGCAGCAACTAAGAACCGCACCGTACTAAAATAAAAAATGAAAGAGGGAGAGCAGCAATAATATTCTGTGGCTAAACGGCTAGAATTGTGAAATCCAGATTGAATGCTTACATTCATATGTATGTATGTACTGTACATATGTATGTATTTAGTAATAGTAAAAATTGTATCTACGAGCAGTGACTAATTACAAAATTGTGAGTTTGTAAAAGTTCAAATGAGCAATTAACAGATTAGATGGGCACAATGCAACAACTATACATACATACATACATACTACGTACATACTGTCTGTCCACAGCTGATCGCAAACGATCAAATTGCATGTAATTCAAGTGCCTGTTGACATATGTATGTTTGTTTCTCCAACACGATAATTGTGTGCTTATTTGTTTGTTTTGTATTCCTCTATTATAGCCCATTATGGGCTATTATTTCACAATTCGGACATGCAAAGAGTTGATATGTTGCCAAGCAGAAAATCTTACACATCGTCCATATTCAATTTCAGACCTGCCATACTCTTTGATGTGCAGCTGTACATATGTATGCATGTATGTACATCCGTCTACATATCTATGTAGATTATTTATAGACCTGCAGAGATATTTCAATTAACAGAGTCATTATGCAATCCATTGAATCGCATCCGAGTTCAATGCTTGCCCTAGTTAACTGGACATATGGCCCCGCATGTTGTATGCCATATCCGATCCCATGTTCATCCCATTGAGAGCTCGATGGGCATTGGAACGTGCGCCTACTTATGTACAAATATATCCCGACGACTACTGGGCGTAATGATATGATGGGGTAGCCGGCCCGCTTCGAGTGCCTCTGGCGGTCCGGTCCGGTCCAGTCTGTCTGTCCGTTCGTGCTCTCTCGCTAATCGTCTGATTTTTCTACCGTTAAGTGGTGTTAAGTGCTACCACAACGAACACCAAGTCAAAAACAAATTGTCTTCTTATTAATGAGCTTGAATTTCATTGTGTGGCGCTCTCTCCACACCGTTCGCATAATTAACCAGATGCTATCATTGACGGTTTGCGCTGATCTTTGCATTTTGTGTGATTCAGATTCAGAACTTTCAATTTCCGCTGGCGGCATAAACATAAATGACATTCAATGTCCTCTCTCACGGCACATTAGCAGCTGATGACGTGTACTATTCCAAATTATGCGGGCCATTCGGTAATGTTCCCGTTCCCCTGCCTGTCGATATTCAATCGTAATTTTATTGATTTTTTGAATTTGTAGTGGTAATGATTAATATATGTACATATATGGGGGTGACGATAGCTGGGCCAAAAACTGAGCACGCCCTTATGACACACTAAAAAAATGTTTATATGGAGGTTTTGTGTGGCTTCTTCGGCGTCTTCATACTAGGCATCTGAGTATTCTAAATGTCGGATGTGACGAAAATCCAAACATACTTTTCTATACAGCAAGTCACTTTTATTTCAAGTTTGGCGGTTTATTTTCAAATAAAATAAATACCACTTTTGATATCTGGCAGCGCTGCGAAATTTCGACACCAGTACGGCAACGCTGTTTTCAGGGCAGTATTTTATCAATCGGTAGGGCAACTCTATTCTGCTGTCAGTTCGAGCGCCAAAGAGTGCTGCCATTCGGCCTCATATGTCACAAAACATTTTGTAAACAAAAATAAATATAATTTTTACTATTACTGAAAATGCGTCGACGCGTGGGACTGGGAGCTATTCAACAGCAAAAGCTAGCTGCCGAGAAGTACAAGGACAAAGGCACAGACCTGCAAGAGTCGCAGCTGGAGCAAATGACAAAGCAAATGGACGTGTTCCGCTGCAAGCTGGAGGAATTTGCAATGAAACACAAGGAAGACATACGCAAGAACTCGCAGTTTCGCAAGCAGTTCCAGGAAATGTGCGCTGCCATTGGCGTCGATCCGCTGGCCACGGGCAAGGGCTTCTGGAGCGTCCTGGGCATGGGCGACTTCTACTACGAGTTGGGCGTTCAGGTGGTCGAGGTGTGCCTGGCGGCCAACCACAAGACGGGCGGTCTGATGGAGCTGGACGAGCTGCGTAGGCGCCTGGTAGCGGCCCGAGGCCAGAGTGCAGTGCATCAGGAGATCACCAAAGAGGACATACTGATGGCAGCCAAGAAGCTGAGCATATTTGGCAATGGGTAAGTCCACACAGATGCGATACTCATTCGTGCAGCACCAGCTAACATTTCATTGTGTACTTTCAGTTTTGTTGTGCACAAGTTGGGCAAGGGCAAGTACATCGTTCAGTCCATTCCCGGGGAGCTGAGCATGGAGGAGACGAACATCTTGAATGCAGCATCCAATACCGAACAGGGCTGCGTCACCCAATCGCAGCTAATGCAGGACTTGGGGCAAGTATTCGAGCACTATCTAAAAGTAATCAATTTTAATTGGTTTCCTAACTTGTTGTGCCTCACAGCTGGACCGACTACCGGGCCAGGCAATCTCTGGACAAGGTGCTGGGCGAGGGCCTCTGCTGGATAGACAGGCAAGCGGAGGAGGAGCCTGCCTATTGGTTTCCCAGCTTGTTTCCCGGTCGCAATGCTCAGGCTGCAGCCTCGTAGCTTCGCCTAATTAGAAACTATCGTATTTATGCAATAACCTTAAAAAAATATATCTATATTTGTACAGCTTGTAAACAATTGCAGTGCCTGGCTATATGGTGTTGCCTCGGGCTTCTTCATCCTTTAATATCTTTATTTCGGCCTTCAGCTCAGAGTTCATATCCATGAGACGTCGGACTTCGCCCTGAAACTTTATCGTCAGGTCCTTGACGGTCTCCTTGTACTCGATTGTTTTTTGTCTGTGGTGCTGCATGTAGTCGCTTAATCGACTCTCGTTAATCTTGCTGCGGACACAAAAGAAGTTTATTAATAATCAAGTCGAGTATTATTTATATTAGTCTTACAGCTCGGAATTTTTCTGCTGTTCTTCGATGAGTCCGTTGCGTTCCAGCTCGCTCAGCCGCTTGCGGGTTTCCTCCAGCTCAGCATCGATTCTCTCGTACTGATCAACAACCTCATTGTACTTTTTCTCCAATCGTGTGTAGCGCGCCTGCAGCGCCGCCATATCCGCCAAGTGCTCCGCCTTGTCCTGTTTGAGCTGGAATCGATGGGTAAGAAAAATGTGATTAGGAAACCAGAATGCGGTCGTCGTCACGCTAACCTTCTCACGCTGCTTGGCCCTTAACGTGGCCACCTCGCTGTCCACACGTTTGGCTTCTTCCTGCAGGATGATGCCCATATTGGCGGCCAGCTGCGCCAGCTCTTCTTTATAGCTTACGGCTCGCTTCTCCGCCTCGGTCTTTTCACGCACAGCCGACTCGCTCAAGCTGAGGGCTTCCTGGACCTTAGTCATGGCCGCACTCTCCCGCTTGTTGCACTCCTTGAGCAGATTTTGAGTCTGATGCAGACGCTGCTCGTACTCCATGACCTGCTGCTTCAGTTTGGCAATTTCCGTTGAGTGCTCGTTAATGACGACCGAACAGTGTTCATTCTTCTGTAGCTTCGCTTGCATCTCCTCGATCTGCATGCCGTTGCGCTGTTTGTGCTCGTTCAGCACTTTGATCATCTCTGCCTGTGCGCGCAGACTCTCCTTTTGGCTGGCTATCTTTTCCTCCAGCATTTTAATAGCTTTAATGTACTTCTTGATGATCTATAAACATGACAGAAATTAAAAATGGTTCACCTTTCTGGGGTTTCTGGTTCACGTACCTGATCGTCGTTCGGTTCGTTCAGCTGTCTCCGGTAGTTCTTGAGCTCCTTTTCCATACTGTCGATGGTACGCTGTGAGCACTCCTGGAGCAGCTTCAGGCTGCTGCGCTCCTTGCGCAGTGAATCGATCTGTTTCAAGGCATTGGCCAAGGCATCTTCGGTCATCTGGCTGCGCTGCTGCACCTCCTCAAGGCCGCCAGGCTTCCTTGCATCCGCCTGCTTGTATTTGTCCAACTGCAGGCGGAGCTGCTTGTTCTCAGCCACCACCTCGTTCACGTTGAGCATCAGGTGCTTAACCTCCTCATGAAAGTGCGACAAGTCCTCGTGGGTATTGCTCATGAGCCGCTCCACATCGCGGCTAATATCGAAGGCGCCGCTGCAAGAAGAGATGCGAGATGTGATTTTTATTTTTATTTGCACCAACTGTCTGATCTGCTCAACTTACCTGGGCAGCGTAAAATGGTTCGGCTCCTGTGTCATGTTGTTTCTGTCGCAGCAATTTCGACTGTGTGAATTTTTGATGGCTGGTGTCAGTATTTGACAGCTTGCCTCACCGAAAACAGGTACAATATTTTTACCCAGCACACATTTGGCACGAGCCATGGACACGGGCGCCGCCGCCGAACCATCCCTGGCTGGCGGTTCTGTTGTGACCAACGTCCTGTCCCTGCGTGTTGTCCGTGGCAACGTGCGGAACAACCACAGGCACAAACGACGAGCAAGTAATTGAGTTGGTCAACTTTTCATTTCAGTTTCATTCTGCCATGCCGCTGTTCAACAAAAAGTTCGAGTCCAAGCCCATACCGACGCGTCAGAATCGCTGCAATATTGGCATTCCGGCCATAGCCGAGGATCTGGATGATTTCCGTCAGATTTCGCTGAATCTGGGCCACAAGGAGCTGCGCTTTGCCGACGGCATCTGGATGCATTCGTCGCGCAAGGGCGATGTGGACGACATGCTGCGGCTGAAAAAGAAGTTCCGTGTCCTCGAAGAGGAGAACAATATGTCCAATTTGAAGATGGAATTTATGCTGGATCTATTGGCGGAGCAGGCATCGGAACTAACGAACTAAAGCCCCAGGCAAAGAATACATTTGAAAATTTAAAGAAATAAAATTAACCTAAACCTGCCATCTAGTTAATAGTTTTAATCTCGCGCTTTATTTTTCAAAATTCCATTCACTAAGCTACACCTAAAGTTAACTGCTTGTGATAAAATCACAACCACATACTTGAGATCTATTTATAATACTCCTTTATATGGTGTATGCCTGTGCATGGGGTGGGGGAGAGATATGAAATGTTCTGTTTTGGGACTTGGGGGGCTTTTGTTGACTAGACCATTGGGCATTAATTTGGGATTTGTTGCGCGAACGTTCGATGAATGGAACTGGTCAAATTGCTGGCATTGTTGTCGTCGCCAATGGCAGCAATCTATAGACGCCATCGTCGGTACGCCGTCAGGCTGCCGCTTGGCTCCCGCTCTATTTATTGTTGTGTGTGTTTGATAAGCTGCTCTGATAAGTCGCCATGGCAATCGAACGGAGTTGGTACGACCGCCAGTGTTTGTGCGCACGGTGGCCGATATGATAAACCTTCTGATGAGCCCCACAAGAGCTGTATAAATATCCGACGGTTGGCAAATGGGAAATTTACATGGCCCGCCCCCCCCCACACTTCGGGAATCTTTTAGACAAATTTTGTGGTTGGATCCAGACTAGCGCGATAAAGCTTAACCAGCTCTGCCGCAGTCTAATCTCTCTATCTCGCCCGTGCGGGTGGCGGGGGTGTGTATACATAGGTGGTTGTGGCCGGTGGGCCCATATCGGTCCACTCCATCGACTACTGTATATTTACGCATTGATATTGATATGCGATAAGCAAAACTGCTTATAAAACACATTTATTTCGTTGTTCCCAGAGCGAGCCCCATAGCCCCCCACTTACAGCTACACCACCAATGCCAAACGGTAACCGAAGGCAGACGATACGATAGACGATCGCCACGGCACGCCTCGCCTCGCCTAGCCACCGAGGGGTAACACTTGTTCGATTCGTGTATTACAGTAGTTTGTTGATAGCCAGCCCCACGTACGGACGTGCACGGGAATACGGAAAACAAGTCCGCAGCAAACGATCAGGAGATCGATGTGGGTCTACATTATTTACCGACAACCCACAACAATTGCCAGCAGCAGAAACTGAAGAACAATAGAGCCAAAGAGATTGCGCGGTGTCAGCAGAAGTGAAGATCTCTTCGATGTGCAAAATCGCCTCAGGCCAGTGGTCTTAGAGGCCAATCAAAGTCTGTGTGGCCCTAGGATTAGGTAACCAGAGACGCGAATAGTTCTATCAGCAGCAAGCAGGCGCATCGCATTAAAAAATAAAAACAGCCATATCAGCAGTACTTCCTGCACATTGACGTACTTCAATCAAATATGAAGCCATTGTGTCAGTTGGCCATCCGCTGATGGTTGGAGCGCCCCCAGAGAGCTCTGTTCACAGTGAGTGCTAAAATTGTATTTATTTGGATTAAAGTTTTGCTTTAGCTTGTTGCTTGTTTTCCGCCGTGTTTGCTGGCCATATAAACAAATTGTCTATTAAACAATCAACTTTTCACCTAATAAATGATATCGTATAAATCAATTGAGTCGATGCCAATCAAGTGGGGCAACACCACTGATAAATCTCCATCACAATGGGGGCAGATCGATCTCCGTTCGTGGAAAATAACAACAGCAACAGCAACAACACGAAATGGCAGGCATAAACAAAACGCCCATCGAATCAAATGTTTTTTATGAGCTTTCCTGCTTAAGTGATTCGGGAAATGATTTGTCCGTGACATTCCATTTAAATTTTAATTTAAACCGTGTACGGCAGACATTACATGAATTAGAATTCTAGGTGCAAGCCCAGAATTGCTTGAATTGTTAAAGAAATATTTAATTACGTCTTGTGCAATTTTTGGAATATCAGTCTTTTGATTTTGGTTGCAGCAAACGTTTTCCCGCTTTTCATTTTTAACTAAATAACTAAAAGATCCACCTTCCACTCCCTTCGTGGTATTCCTTTTCCACTGCCCACCAATTGGTTTACCATTACAGCCCTTCCTCCCCTTTCCAGCGCTCCTCACACACTTTTGTGTGTGCCTCGAAAATTCTTTGGTAGCCCCCAAGCAGAATTGATAAACGAGCAGCATTATCGCTGCCGGCAATGATTTATTGTTGCATAAATGGCACTCACTATTTATTTATTAATAAATGGAAAGCTAAATATCAGATAATTTATATATATATGAGTGCCAAGGATTTGTGTCTAAACGCCTGTGTGTGTGTGTGTTTGTGTGTTTGTGAGCCAATGTAGAGCACTTGCCCCGCGCTTCGCCACAAATGGCCAAGTAAATAAACAAAAGAACATTTTTACACTCACGCTGCGCACAATAAAATGTGTGAAAAATATGTTCGAGCCCGTGGAAAATGCAGCCCAAACCGCTCCCTCCCGCCGCCGCCACCAATCAAAATAAATAAATAAATACAAATTTTGGAGAGGCGTCGAGTGTTTGCTGAGAAATTAAATGAAAATCGATCACAGGGGCAAAAGCAAAAGAGGAAACCAAATAAAAATAAAACCAAATATATTCTCCCATTACAGGCCACCAACAAAAACAACAACAAAAGCAAGTGGATGGCATTGACTCGAATGGGCTAAATGGAAATGGATCCGATGATTAGACAGAGTTACCATCATCTGTGGTCTAGCCACATTTGGCTTTTGATACTGCTTTACATCTGTGGCGGATGCCAAAAAGCTCACGGCCACTTTGTGGATTACACAGGTAAGTTGACTGCTGCTGGCCAAACCATTTTGAGTTCGAATTTCACAGCTTCTTTGACCTGCACACTTTCGGCGGCAGGCTGAATGAGCTGCTAAACCTATTTATAGGTAGAATACAGTTTCAATTGTGGGGTGTATCAATTACAAGGTGCAACAAATGGAAAACTTTTAAATGTGCTTTGTACGCGAAAAAAAAATTGTTTGTAGGTTTTATTTTATTTTGACTCAGAGCCTGAAGCGCGTATATCCACAAAAAGTAATAGGTTGGCAAGCAAATTGTATTACCTTCTAGAAGATTTTTGATCCGGATGATAGAATGGATATAACTGAAGATATAGGGACTCAAAGTTGAAGATTTCTACCAGCTTTAATGTTTCTTCTTAAGCTTAGATCGATTTTTGAGCTTTTGAGCAACAAATGCCTCGCATTTTCCAGCTAAACCAACTGAACTTACACAGAACTATAAAGTTCTGCTGCCTTTTATTCTTAGTTGAAACGAAAATAAATCTGCAGTCGGCATATAAAATTCAAACTAATCGCATACTGATCCATAACCAATGGAATTAACGTAACCGAACCCAACTGAAACCCACAGCTCAACTTATTTCCATTTCACGTTTCCGTTTTCATTCCACAAAAATGCTTGGCTCGGATTATTAATCGTATTTTTTTTTTTGGGAGAGAGAGAGAACAGCAATTGATAAGATACCGCTGTTGCGCCTATCAATTGCTGTCAAAATGGTAAACAAACATTTTGGCATTGAATTGATTGGACTGTTTTCCCTGTTTCTCTTCTTCTGCTGCCTTCACTGGTGGCTGGTGCAGAGAACACAGAGCTGATACAGCAGCGTGCCGGCTACGATGTGAAGCTGCAGTGCAATCTGAAGGGTCTGCTGGACGATAGCAAGCTGGCCGACATCCAGATACATTGGTACTTTAAGGTATAAGTATATTAACCACATTATCCTGCATTTACTGATGCCTTGTTTGCATATCCACGCAGCAATGCAGCGACAACAATTGCTATCAGCCGGAGGCGGCCGATGACTGGACAGCCCTGCCCTGCGAGCCAAGTCTGTGCCGGCCGGAGCTCTGGCTGCGCAACGTAACGGAGCGCTATTCGGGCCTCTACAAGTGCAGCATCAATCCGCATGTCTGGGACGCGACGCAGGCAGTGGACGTGCAGCTGGTGCGCACCTACCAGCTGGATGTGAAGAGTAAGACTTTTGTCTCATGCCTGTTTAGTTGCAGCTCCCTAAGCTTTGATTCTCTGCATTCGTTAGACAGTTCGCTGGCAGCGCCCGAGTTCATGGACTCGTATCCCAGCAACAAGACCGCCCCGCTGGGCAGTCGAGTGGTGTTCCAGTGCAGGGTGCACAGCGAGGAGCATCCAACCATTAAATGGTTCAGGCGGCACACCTACGTGGGTTCGCTGCCAGCTGGCGAGGGGCCACCCTCCACGTTGCCAGCCTCCAATTTCAGTGCACACATCGTGCGCTACAATGGCCGCACATATGAGCCGCTGTCCACGGACTCAGAGATGCTGATCGGACCGCAGATCTATCTCAGCAAGCTGATTCTCGACGGCGTGCGACTGCGGGACGCCGGCCACTACGCCTGTGCGGCCATCAGCTATCGCGGCCACAAGATTCGCGAGGCCTTTCTGGACGTGCTGCCAGCTGAGGAGCCGCAGGAGGAGTACTGGATCGACTATGACAACAGCGATGAGGGTGCTGCCGCTGGCAGTGATCCACGCGAGTTTCTGCTGCTCTTCCTCATGCCCTTGGGCCTGGCGCTGCTTCCGTTGACCGTCTGGTGCAGCTATCTGGTGTACAAGCGCTGCTCCGGACACGGTGACTGCCAGAGCATGAGCTCGGACGAGGAGTTAGACACGGAGCGGTGTGTGCTGGGTGGCTGAACTGAACGGGACTACCCCCCGTTCGGTAGCGCCGGGGCAAGCTGCTATACGCTTATTACGTTTACGATTTACGATTTACGAGTGTGAAGACTGTGCATAGACCTACGGATTAGATATCGAAAATTAAATGTGTAATTTAAGTGTTTTTATTTCAACTTACATGGGGAGTTTCATTTGTATCCAGCTCGGCTGGGATTCTTGCTTCATTTATGATTTATTTAGTTCCGTGTTGTATTTTGTGCTGAGCGATGGTTATGTTCGAATGTTACTAAAGAATATTACACAGTTCAAAATTATTATTCAAATTATTTTCGTATGAAATTCAAAATTTGTCCCTTCTTACCGGTTGCGGCGAAACGACCAAGAACAGGATTGTGCGCTGCCCCCCTTCAGCTGATCATCATCCTGAACGTTTGAGTTCTGTGTGTGTGTGATCTTGTTTCTTCTTTTTGTTGTGAGTTGTGAGTGTTGCTGCCTGCTGAATCCACCAATATACAATAATTCTTATACCGTTCTGCCTGCAGTTCCGGGGCCAGCCAGCCACTCTGCAATTACAGGCAGGAGCATCCATTAGTCGGACATGTCGGGCTTGAATCAGCACTACCAGGACTACTACCTGTTGCCGGGCACATATTCCTATCCACTGGCCACGTCCGCCACACCAACGGTCAGCGCCTATCTGCCCAACTACGATGAGATGTCCTGGCTGGTGCCAGAGAACAGCACGGCCACCTATGTGGCCACGCCCCTCGGCGTGATCAACTATCTGTCCGATCTGCAGACCCAAATGGCCTTTCCCACGCCGCAGAATCTGAGCAGCGGCCTCATCTATGCGGTTCTCAATCCGGTGCAGCAGCATGTACCCGTGGCAGTGCCCTTGCCACTGCCGGCCTATCCCCAGGCGGTCTATGGCTTCAGCCAAGAGCACCACCAGCCAGTGGAGCAGATTCGTTATTACCGCTTGCTCACCATGTCTGAGGAGGAGGTGGAAGAGGAGCAGGAGGAGGAGGAAGAGGAGGATAACTCCACACAACTGCAGCCAGAAGAAGACTCAACGCAGGGCGCTGGCGAATCCGCACAGGAGCCAGCAGCAGCTGTGCCAGCGCCTGGCAAACGCAAGCGAATCTACCAGGCAGAGGAGGGCTATCTGGTTGAGGAGCCCACATCCTCGGAGGACGAACAGGACGAGCGCAGGGAGGAGCCCAACAACGCAGAAGCAGCAGCAGCCACCCTTTCGCTGGACACTCGCCAAAGACGCTGACAAAATCGAAGCTTTGCCTTGTGTGTAATGTAATGTACACACGGAATGTACGTTGTACCCTGGCAAGGAATTGTTTTATTCATATTTATAGTTACAATTGAAAAAGTGATACATCTCCATATACCACAAAATGATGCAAGATTTATTCAGGGCAGTGCAGGGCATCAGCTAGTCGAGTCAGTGTCCCACTTGGCAGGCACTTTTCTCAATGGCTTTTGAGCAGCTAATTTAATTATTCGCACATGTCTGTCGCACCCATTCTCTCACTCACTCACTCTCTCTCTCTCTATCTTCGGTTGTGGCTGTCAGCTGCTCAGTTGTTGTGGGGCGTTTGTTGCTGTCGGACGTGGGGGTCGGTTCACGCTGTTTGTTTATTTTGATAGTGTGCTGTGCTGTGTGCTGTGATGCAAAAACACTCCACTCCGCGAGTGTAAAATAAACAACAAAAACTATTTTTAGCCTGCAAAGATTCGGAAAGATTCGCATGCGACTGCAGCAGGAGCAGCATAGTGAACTAATCATGGTGCAGCTCGACTGCAAATCGCGACGGGGCACCAAAATCTCGGTCATTGTGCTGGGCAGCGCCCTGTGCTTTGTGATGATGGCATACTTTGTGTTTGGGGACAGCAACGACGAGCAGGGCTTGCGAAATCTACGCATGATATCCATTGTGAGCCAGCTCCAGCGTCGCCCAAAAGCAACAACTTTGACTTTAATGCTCTCTCTCTCTTGTTATTTCTTTTTGGGACAGCTGTTTCGTCATGGTGCCAAGAATCCGAGTGGATTTTATCCGCTTGATCCGCATTCAGCGCACGACTGGCAGGGTGGCATTGGTGCCCTGACACCGGTGAGTAGGTGGGCAGACACCTCTCGCACCTTCACTTAGAACGATCTTTCTGCACAGAGGGGCAGCCTGCAGGCGTACAATCTGGGCAAGAATTTGAGGATGCGCTACTATCGCCTGTTGCCCCCGAACAGTCTCTATACACAGCAGCAGGTGCACGTGCTCAGTTCGGCCGCGGAGCGCTGTGTGGTGCGTCAAGCAAAAAGTAATCCATCACAGATGCGGTAAACCTAATCAGCTGTGGTCCCGTTATCTTTTAGATGAGCGCCCAAAGCGTTTTGGCCGGTTTCATGCCACCGCTGGAGAACAACAATGTGCTGCCCATACCCTGGCAGCCGGTGGCTGTAAATACATTATCGCGCAACGATGACATTGTAAGTTCCCCCATTCCCCATCCCATCCAAAATCTGTTCTATGTAAAACTCAGACACTCTATCCTGCCGTTCCAGCTGCTGGCCCAGAAGAAACCCTGCCTTAAATATGACACCATATTGCAGAAGCTCTACAAGACTCCAACGCCAGAGCTGCAGAAACTGAACGAGGACAACAAGGAGCTGTACAAGCTGCTCACAAGGAACACAGGCAAGGTGGGACAATCCACTACCCACGCCCTATAGATGCCGCTTAATGGATTATCTCCACTTGCAGAACATTTCGAATGTGTTGGATGTGGAGCTGCTGTATGGAACACTGAAGACGGAGGAGGAGGCTGGGCTGGTGCTACCCGATTGGACCGAGAATATATATCCAGAGGAGATACGACCGCTGGCCGAGCGCAGCTATGCATTGTTCACAGAGTCCAATCTGATGAAGCGCATCAAGGGTGGTGCCTTCCTCACCGAAATACTCAACAAAATGCAAAACAAACGCAAGAAGAACTTGAATCCAGATCGAAAGATATTCCTGTATGCCGGGCACGATGTCACCCTGGTTAATGTGATGAATTCGCTGGGAGTGCTGGATCAGACGGCCAAGCTGCCGCAATATGCGTCCGCCCTGGCCTTTGAGCTGCATCACAGCAAATACTTTAGTGATGGCGACTTCGAAGTGAAGGTTTGTGCAGGCAAAAAATACTTTTTTTCTATATAATATCTACTTATCTACATCTATATCCCTTTTGCAGTTGGTTTACTATTACAACAGCGACGACAAGTTCCCCAAGGAGCTGAGCATACCCAATTGTGATGTGCCCTGCTCACTCACACAGTTTGAGGCTTCGCTGAAGGCCCTGCTACTGGACAACTACGACGAGACCTGCGAGAATCATCCGCCCGACTGCAGAAATTAAAATTTTTATTTTTATTTGTATTTTTCGTTTCGTTTTGTTTGTTTTGTATAATATAGAGTAAACGGTTTGCAGCTGCCCCCAAAGCAGCCAAGTTGTTAAATGTCTCACATTTCCCTCTCATTTGGATGCCTTAACGCCTCAAAATTAAAATCGAGCCCCCTTATCCTCGGCATACAGAAAATAAATTGGCACCTTTACCGTCTCGCTGACATGTACGATCTCTGTATGGCTAATTAAGCGAATGGCAGCCAGTCCATAGAAGAGCATAGGTAAGCCTGCGAGACGGTTGTCGGTTAACGTTGTCGGTTGAGTTAAGTTTACCATGCCAGAGGCCTCCGCCTCCACTCACCCAGATTGATCACTTTCAGCACACGAAAGAATTTGTCTTCGAGCGACAGATCCTGCACCTCGCGCCTGCTGCAGTGGTACTTCATATAGGGATAGCAGCCGGTTCTCAGAATGTGGTAGTTGGTGCCCGTGTCCAGAGTCCAATTAAAGTGCGACATTCCACGCTGATCGTTGCTGACATCCCTGAACTGAAATTGCAGACTGTGTCATAAGGATTGTGTTTTTGTTGCGCATTCCCTTACCTTCACGAAATATGATGTCCAGGGCGGCTCTTGGCATTGCTTCAAGTATGCGGTCAACACTTCCGAGGCACGGGGCTTTAATAAAACGCGGGTAAGATGCATTGCAGGCTCAAAATTAAGGAACCCTTATTGGAATTCGCCCAATTGTTCGCAAACGGTATTTAAATTTTTAGAATTTAAATTGCAGCTCATTATGCAACGAAAATATGAGTCGCGATTTAGTGTGACCCTCAGAAATATACAAAAATACCAAACAATATACCAGGGAAACACGAACCGTTCGTGTTACTCGATTTTGATATTCGGTTATATATTAATAGCTAGATTGGAAACTCAGCACTTAACATATAATTTTTTCCAATTTTCTAAAAGATAGGTTAATTGTAAATCTGTTATGGTTGCAATTAATCTCAACTCTCACAGCTTAAACTGTAACATGCGCTCCAAAGCGCGAGTATCGACCAAATTCACAGGACATCACGCGGCAAATTTAAAATTCTGTAACTTAAATGGTTTGTCTCACTTTTCAATTTATTTTCCTCCTTAGCGTGCTGGCTTATTTCAGCAAAAGATGCAAGTCCCGTCGTGCTCACCTGGTGGAATACTTCGATCAGGCGCCAATTGTCAACGAGAAGCTGTTGGAGTACGAGGTAGGGTCAAACGAACGCAAAGAACTCGAGGAATCGCTGCAAAAAATTCTGGCCATAGTCAAGCACGTGCCCATCGTGATCGATGGTGTGGAGCACAAGGTTCCTGAAGAGCTGCAGCAGATCTTGCCGTACAACATCAAGAGGCCAATAGCTCGATATGGCCACGCACCCAACGCCATGTTGAAAATGGCCATCGGGAAGACTGTGGAGGCACAGGAGAGATGGGACAAGACAACGTTAAGGGAGCGCATGTACATATGGCAGCGGGCGGCTGAAATGATTGCCACCAAATACCGCTTCGATGTTGTCGCTGCCACAATGCTCGGCCAGGGCAAGACACTGCGGCAGGCGGAGATGGATGTAGCCGAGCTGGTGGACTTTATGCGCATCAGTCCCGTCTTTCTGCGCGATGTGGCCAACTACGAGCCAATCAACGACTGTCCGGACACCCAGCGCAACTACATGCGGCTGCGGGGCTTGACGGGCTTCGTGGCTGCCATCAGTCCCTTCAATTACACGAGCATTGCGGCCAATTTGGCCTTCACGCCGGCCCTGATGGGCAACGCTGTGATGTGGAAGCCCTCGGATTCGGCCATTCTGTCCAACTGGTTCGTGTTCCAGGCAATGCGCGACGCTGGACTGCCCGATGGTGTGGTCAACTTTGTGCCCTCCGAGGCGACGACCTTTGCCACAGCGGTCACGCAGCATTCGAAGCTGGCTGGGATTCACTTTACGGGCACCTCGGGCGTGCTGAAGGTGCTGTGGCAGCTGGTGGCCAACAACATCGACGTCTACCAGAACTATCCACGGCTGGTGGGCGACTCGGGTGGCAAGAATTTTCACTTCGTGCATTCGTCTGCCGATCCCGAGACAACGGTGGCGTGCACCATCCGAGCGGCCTTCGAGTATGCCGGCCAGAATTGCTCCTCCTGCTCGATGCTGTACGTGCCCCAGTCGCTGTGGGAGTCGCACATCAAGCAGCCGCTGCTGGACATTAGCGCCGAGCTCTTTGTCAGCAAGGCCACCTACTGCGACTGCTTCTACTCGGCGCTGATCAACAGGCGCGCCTACAATCGCATCTACATGTGGCTGCGCTACATTGGCCAGAATCCCAGCTGCCAGCTGCTCACCGGCGGCACGTGCAGCCAGAAGCAGGGCTACTATGTGGATCCCACCGTTGTGCTGGTCAGCGATCTGAACGATCAAATCTGCCAGAAGGAGCTGCTGGGGCCCATACTCTGTGTGCATGTCTATGCGGACGAGGAGTTGGCGCCCACCATGGCCAAGGTGGCGGAGATCAATCACGGCCTGATTGGCTCCATCTTTGCCAGCGACGCTAATTTCATCGATGAGGCCTACAGGGTCTTCAAGTTTAATGTGGCAAATCTGAATGTCAACGACAAGTCCACTGGCGCCATGGTGGCCAAGCAGCCGTTCGGAGCCGGTCACATGACGGGAACCAGCGACAAATTGGGCAGTCCGCACGCCCTCTTGCGCTGGACATCGCCGCAGGTTATCAAGGAGTCGTACAAGCCACACGTCAACGTCTACTATCCCTACATGGATATAAGTGATGACATCAAGAACATTGGCAAGCCTCAGCCCGAGGCCAAGCTCGAGGCCAAACCCACAGACGGCACTCAACTCTCCGCCTGATACTCACTGGCTGGGCTTGGCTTGGCTTGTGTTCCTTTCTTGTGACCCAGAGATCCCACTCACAGATGGTTACAAAATTTTAATTGTGTTTTTTTATTAAAAGGGCAGGCGAAATAATTATTTTTGTGTGCACATAAAATTGTTGTTTAATGGCGGGTAAACTTGAGGGGAAGAGCGGCAATGAATATATTGTACAAATCTGTAAGATCAACCCCATCTAAAAGCCCGGAACATTTCCGTCTCTATTGTGTTTATATGTCAGATTCCAAGCGCCCTGATCATATGATATATAAAAATAAAAATATAATATTGAAGAGCGCGCGCTGGTGACTTACAATTTTTGCAGTGCTGCTTGGCGGATGACGGGCTGGCTAAACAATTGACGTAAATTTGTGAAAAGAACATGAGATGTCTGCATGGAGTGACCATCAGCATTTAGCCCGCGCTGTTATCATCTGTTGCTTCCTGCTGCCACTGCTGCTACCATCGATCACGAACGCTGCAGCACACGAGCGCCGAGCGCTGCCCAAGGAAAAGATGCAACGGCAGGACTCTGCCACCTGGCGAAGAATGCTGGAGGATGGCAGGCGGCTGCATACACAGCTACTGTACGATGCCTATCGCGATAGGCTGCGGAACACGGACAGCGAGGCAGTGGCTGAGCCGCTGAATCAGGAGAAGATACCCGCGGCCCATTCGCCCATCGAATACGCAGCAATGGAGGAGCATTCAGTGGAGTCGGGGAGAGGCCTTGATCGACTCTCAAAGGAAGAAAGGGAAGGATCAGCCGCTGGCAAGAGGCCCCCAATCAGTGGCATGTTAATATTGAAAATGAACAATGAAAACTCAGCCATCAATGCAACGGCAAGGGCGACTCATAAACAGGAACCGGAAGCGGCAGAAGGAGACCAGCGGCAATGCAAGCCAACTGGAATGTACAGAGAGAGCGGAGCCACAAAACTCTCCAATGAGCAGCCAGCCAAATCGCTGAGGGACACCTTAATCAAGTCCGGTTCGTTTGGGCTCAGTGCCTTGACTGGGCTAATGGATGTGCTCGACCGGCTCGAGCAGGGCGATATGGTAAGCGAACTGGCGAAAAGGATCAGCGAGGGCATGGAGCCACAGCTGAGCAGCAACAGCAGCAGCTCCCTGCTGGGTGGCAGGGTCAATTTAGCCTCAGATGAGCTGCTCGATAACGTGGATCCACAGAGGGCGGCGACTAATTTCAAGCACATCCTGAAGGACTTGAAGAAGCGACGACCGAGTGACCAGCTGGGTGGGCTCTATGACGATTACCTGCAGATATTTACCCAGGCGCTGAGTGATCAGAAGTGTCCACGTGCGTCCCCTCGCAGATCGAATGGACTGAAGATGAGTCAATGTCGCGCAAAGCCAGCGAGCCTGGCCGCTGATCGGGCTCAAGGACAGACAAAGAAAAATATCAAGTCGAAGGTGTTGGCACCGGAAACCGATTACATGAAAGCCCTGGATACGTTCCTTAAGATGGGCAAGGAGAATCAGTTGAATGGCGGCCTGAAGCCCTACTACCTTCCGACATCCAAGAACCGGCAACTCATCTGGAACGAGGTGCCGCTGATCAAGCCGGGACTGAGTCCGGAACCAGCCCATAAACTGAAAGCGGAGAGCAGCAAGAAAATGCGACTTCACAGCGACAAAAAGAGACTCAAATTGTTGGCCAGCGATGAGCATGGCTCCAAAGTGAAGATGAAAACGCCACCTGCCCCAGCGGTGGAGGGTTGTGCTTCGGCTCTGGATCCCAATCAAATTATAAATGGCCTAAAGGCCATCAAGCAGACGCCGTTCTACAATCTGTACGATGAGTACCAGAGGCAGATGCAGAGCCTCAAGCAGAGCCTGCAGTGCAAGCAGGACTGGTGGCGGGAGGTGATGGACAAGGGCGCGGCATTCGCCCGGGCACTCTCCAAGCGGGATGTGCCCAATAATCTCTATCCGCTGATAGCGCGCGGTGCCCCAGTGCCCTTTCCCGAGGCACTAATGAATCAGGCCACTGGCATGGGCCAGTCCGTGCCGCAGATTGGCGGCAATATGATGGACAATATGGCCAGTCAAATGAATATGTCGCCCCTGGAGTTGGCCCAGCGGCTTGTGGGCACGAATGTGCGTCCAGCTACAGCTTCTGGCGCTGCGCCCAGTGCCATTGCTTCAGTTGGTCGCATGCCTTCAGGATTTGGCCCGGTTCAGGGACAGTTGGGTAAGTTTTTCTTAACTAAAGCCTTTAGTTTATGACTGTTGTTCTCTCTCTCGCTCTCTACAAAAAGGAAACCAGATTGGCAGTGGACAGGTTGTGAGTTTGCCATTAAATACCTTTCGGAAATCGTCGCAGCTTGTGCCGCAACAACAGAAACCGCCCCAAGAGATGGTCATACAAGATCCGCCGACACAAGAGTCGCTGCCACAGGACCAACCGACACTGGAGCCAGCGAAAAATGTGTCAATGCCCAAACAGGAGCCGCCCAAACAGGAGCCATCCAAACAGGAGCCATTGGGCAAAGATAAGGATAAGGATCCATCCAACATAGCCCCAGTGCTGGACAAGATACTGCAGCGTTTGGAGACAATGCAGGAGAACAAATGCAATAACGCGACCTCCGCCGATGAGAAGGAGCTTCAAGAGCTGCCCTGCTGTTTCGCCGATCCAGCAGATGGTAAGACCCATTCGATTCCAAGGCCACCCAATATCTCCCTTTCCTTCGTAGGTGCACCCTGCGACATAAATGGTTCCTGGGAGTCCCTGGTGCTGGGCGTGCGCATCAATATACGAACGCCCAAGAAAGACAGACTGCGCGAGGGGGAGAAGAAGGCATCGTGCTACAATCCCAAGGGCGACAAGTCCCGGCGACAGTGCGTGAAGATTAACCAGTCGCAGCTGAAGGACAAGTCGGACGCCAAGAAGGATGAACTCCTGCACACCGGCCTGACGCTCAATATCAGTGTGCAGGAAACGGTGCCGCCCCGAGCCCATGTGCTCATCGAGAATCTCACCGATTGGGATTTTTCGGGCCATGCACTGGGCGTGCTGGGCGGGCCCGTTTCGCTGGCCTTCCGCAAGGTCAAGTCCAATCTGGTGGGCAACTTTGTGGGCTATTGTCGCACCTGCGGCTGCGTGGACACCATTTTTGGTTCGTGGACCTTCTGTCAGCCGTCACGCGATTGCCAGGACATCACCATGTCCATTGTGGATAGACGGGATCTGCTCAGGCGCTACAGCCTGGACGAGAAGCGCAAGAATCGGTACAAGGAGCAGCTCTATTTGGGCAGCAAGTTCGCCCGCGTCGAGAAGGAGCGCATGGAGGCGGAGCTAATGAGATTCGAAAAATCCACTCCCCAGCCGCAGCTGCAGCTGCAGCTGCAACAGAATGAGGCGGCAGCTCCACGCTATTGGTAGTTTGAAAAGTTCAATTAAGTTGTTCAATAATTTTCATGGTTGCATTTATTTATTTTGTATTCATTACACGTTGCCCCATTGATCAGTATTCTGATTTTGCCTGCTCTTTCTGGTGGCTGATGAAGGACATGGCATAGCCAATGGACCGCTTCACGCAGTGCTCGTCCATCTGGTTGTGTGACTTGCACTGGCGCAGCTGATCCGTCACATACTCCACAATTCGGTGCCTGATTGGGGCGCTCTCGATGCGCTCCAGTCGCTTCTCCACCTTGTGCATCAGCACATAGGCCTGGGGATGATCGGCCACATCGCAGGGCCACATCGAGGAGTGTCTGTGCGACCAGCTGGGACTCATCTCCTGCGATTCCTGGTACTGCCGCGATTCATTCGATTCGCGCAGCGTCCTTGCCTGCACCTGGGCCAAGGCCAGGACCGTAGCGAGCACTAAGAAAAGCAGAAAGCGCATTGCGATTGGATGTACGAATGAAACTACAATATTGGTTTCCTATAACTGAGTTGCTCGTTTTATAGAGGCCCTTATCAGCCAGTGAAAACCGCTGACGAGCAGCCTCAGCCCTGCAATCTGTGGCCTCTAGTTTTCCACACAAAGCACAAATTTTCTTTGATAAGACAGTTCACTGGCCTTGGATTAAGCTGAGGTGATTTTGCACTGACAAAGTGCTAATACCACGTCAGAGAGGGGGGGTTGGGGTGTCCATTGATTGGCAACTATTAAAATTATATGGCAGGGCACTTTGTTAATCTACATTTAAAATTTAGAACACAATTACAGCCGAGTGAACGAATTAAGTTCGAATTAAACTCTCGATCGCTCGCTCACTTTCGTATCTTCTTGGCAATCCAGCCGATGATGTCCTGAATGCCGTTGCCTGTTGTCACCGAACACTCCAGTATATTCCACTCGCGTCCCTCCAAGCGGCTGAGACCCATCAGGTCCACCACCGAAAGGCTGGACAAAGCGCCCAAAGCGTCCTGTTTGTTGGCCACAATTAGCAGTGGCACCTGCTGCAGTCGCTCGTCCAGCAGAACATCGCAGAGCACGCAGCGTGCCTCGCTCAGCCGAGCCGCATCCTTGCTGTCGATAACAAAGATCTGCGGATTGATGGAACTTTTGTTAGGTGGCATCAATCAATGCACACTCGAGAGTGGCGTCTTACCAAGGCGCCAACATTGTGGTAGTAGTTGGCCCATAGATTTCGCTCCCGCAGTCCGCCGCTCAGATCGAACATTTGTATTTTGGTATTTTTGAGTTTAAGGCGCAGCTCAGTGGCCCCCATAGAGGCAGCCACGTACTGTAAAGTAATGTTGGATTGGGTGGCTGGTTAAGCTACTTAAACACACTCTTACACCGTGACATAATTGGTCTGCTAGGCAGGCTGTCAGCGCGGATTTGCCAGCATTGTCGAGGCCCAAGACAAGCAGACAGGGTTCTCTGGCACTTGTGGCCCGGAGCTTACGAATGAGCGTAAAGCACATGGTTATCCTAGTATATTTAATGCTATGTAAGTGAAGGTTCTATTCCAGTGGAAGTAAAACTGAATTTCTACTATGTTTTATGGATATATATTTATGAGTCGAACCTTAACATAGTAAGTAGCACACACACACACAGACAACGTAGAGTAAAAGATTGCTTAGATTATTTCTTCATGTTCTTGCACACCCAGTCCATGCCCTCCTTCAGGCCGGTGCCATTGACAGCTGTGCAGGCTTTGATCTCCCAGGTGCGCCCCTGCAGCTGCACCAGGCTCATTTTCTCTGCCACTTCGGAGGCAGTCATGGCCTCGGGCATATCCTGTTTGTTGGCAAACACCAGCAATGGCACCTGCTTCAGGCGATTGTCCATCAACAGCTCAAACAGTTCGCTGCCCGCCTCCGGCAAACGGGCCCGATCCGTGCAATCAATCACGTAGATCTGTCAAGTCAAGGATTGGTTTTTTTTAGAAGAATTACATGGATTAGTTGGACAGAGCTCACCAGCACATCGGTATTCGCAAAGTAATTCTTCCAGTAGGGCCGAATCTTCCACTGTCCGCCAATGTCCCACACATTGAGCTTGAAGCCATCGGCTGCCACGGACTTGATGTTAAATCCGGCCGTGGGCGTTACCTGCAGGGGTTCACTCCTTATTTTTGGGGAAAAACAGAAACGCTTCTGTTTCTTTTTCATACGCACCGTGGTTATATCCTCGGACGCCAGTTGCTTCAGGATCGTTGTCTTGCCCGCATTGTCCAGGCCAAGTAGCAGAATTCGTGCCTCCTTCTCCGGATTGGGTCGCAGTTTGCGTAGCAGCGAAAGCAGACCCTAAATTAACAAAATATTATATTAACTTTCATTTGAATTTTTGAATCGTGTGTATAGAGCGCGCCAAAAGCACAAAGCAGTGCTGCAAATCGTGTGGTGCGCACGTCTAGTGTTAGGCAACGCAGCTTTTACGAGTGTGTTTCCATGGTAACGATCTCGCGACAACAAACAAAATTAGATTTTGGGGGAAAAATTACTTAATAACAAATTGTAATTGGCTATTACGCCACGAGAGTGACCGTGAAGCAGTTCATAACCTACATACCATCTTGCTCGATCTGAAGGCGTCAACAGCTCGTCACTATCTGTCGCCGGAGATTTTGTACGATAAGGTGGCGGCGGCGCGGGCGCTCCTGAACGTGTCTTTTGGATTAGGAGGAAAACTGATAGAAAAAAACCACCACCAAACACAACATTTCAGTTTCAACGCCAGGCACCAACTGCCAAACAATTCTCTCAACGCTCCACCAACCAACAACAACAGCAACAGCAGCAGCGAGAGCGGGGCAAAAGCGTCGCTACGCAACCGCCGGGTCTGTGTCTGGTCTGGGTCTGGTCGGCACCGTGTGTGGAGCCGTCCGAAACGGAAGAAGATGCGACAGTTACTATTTACGGGCTTCAACGCATTTGGCCAGCATGAATTTGTAAACAGCCCCCACGACGACGACTGCGCTGCCAGTGGCAGTGCCAGTTCCAGTGCAGGTTTTAGTGGTTTGTAACTGGGCAACAAAGCCACCGCCACGCGCGCTCTCTCACCCAATTGAAATGTATACTAAGCAGTCCTTTCATTATAGAAATAAATGCGCACGACGGCGGCAACAACAACGAAAAAAACCAGTGCACGATCGCGTTAGCTTGGCGTTACACCGCCTATGCCTGGGGCCGGAAGTTGCGGCTGCGGGGCCTCCTCGAGAGGGAGCGAGGCGAGTGCTTGGATGTGGAAGCGCCTGGAGAGATAAAAGCATTGGCCGCCTGTGACTCGCACTGCTTGGTTTTGCTCTACACTGGCGAACTGTACAAAATACAGCCCAAATTGGAGGCGACACTGCAAGCGATTAGACTGGAAAATCCCCCCAGACCATGTACGGCAACGAAGCGGACTATTTTCGGGGCGGCCAAGGCTCCTGCAGCTCCCATTATCGAGCACATTGCCTGCGGAACGACCATCAATGTGGCTGTCAGCTCTGTGAATGCGGTCTACTCCATTCCCAGTTGCCTACATCAGTTTCCCGAACGCCAGTGGCGAGTCCAACAACTGGAATGTGGACATGAGCATGCCCTGCTTCTGAATGGCAACGGCGACGTGTACATCTGGGGAAATGGACTGTAGGTATTCCCATTAATGAATCATTCTCTGATTTTTGACAGTTTTGTTTACTTCTCCAAAGTCGCGGACAGTTGGGACAACAGACATTACGTGTGGAAGAGACGCCCCAATTAATGGAGTCGCTGGCGGGGATCAAAGTATGCTCTTGGGTTCGTATCTTATCTCAATTTGTCACACTCGAGCGTTAATTCTAGATAACTGGCATTGCCGCGGGCGGATGGCACAGTGCGGCTATATCCGCATTCGGAGATCTCTACACTTGGGGTCTCAACTGCAGCGGCCAACTGGGAATGCGGGTCATGAGACCCGGTGGCTTGCTGAAAGAGCCCACCGTGTATCCCCTACCTCAGCTGCACGATCTGCCCCACTGTTGCGGAGAGAGTGGGGACGAAGAAGGCGTTTGTGAGCCTCTCAAAGTTTTTGCCGGCTCTCGTCACACCCTGCTGCTTCGGCGGTGTGGGAGGCTATGGGCTAGTGGCTGGTGCATCCACGGTCAGTTGGGCAAGCAACTGTGTGAGCAGAACTTTTTGGACGCATTCCAAGCTCTAGATGGCTCTAGAGCTGGTGCAGACCTCAATTTCGTCAACGTCATCTGCGGCCCTTGGGCAACGCTGCTCATTTCCTGAGTGCTCTGGTCATTGAGTGCCTCTTAGGCAGAAGAATAAATTATATTTTGATATTGATTACAATGAAAGATTTGTTTTGGAAAACAAACTATTGCTTCAGCAAATGGGACACTCCGTGAAGGGTATGCAATTAGAGCGCAAGCAGCCTGATTTCTTGTGGCATCAGAAAACTTCAATTTAAAATTTGTGGCACACATATATTATTTTCTTTTAAATTTTGATTATTTTTTTTAGTTAAGTTGATTCGACTTTTAGTTATTAATTAATTTTTTGTAGCATATTTTTGGGTCGAAAATTTTACGTAATTCGCAGCATTATGCCGTTACCAGCCGGTCAGCTTGTGTCAGAGTGCGAATTTTACAATTTCATAGTGACGAGCTTTGGTCAGCTATGATGTTAAAGTAACATCTAAGTTAATGTTAAATGTCCGGTGTTAATGTTAAATGTCTATGTTAAAAATGGCCGCGGTATACTACATATACGCGTATACGTATACTACGTATACGTAGTATACCTCAGGGAAAGAAGTATATGTGCATTGATATTACTTACAAAAAAACTATTAAAAACAAAGAGAATGATTTAAACTTTTTTTTATATATATAGTAAAGGTACATATTAACAAAAAAATAACAATATTATTTTCATAAACTTTAAGAATAACTAAATATTAAATGAATAACTTTCCATTCATATGAAATAAGTATATGTGCATTCTAAATGAAAATTAAAAATACTAATGAAATTATTTTTTTTAAATTTTTATTTTTGCTTATTAATAGTTTATATGCTTTCCCTTTTTAGTGAAAATTTGATTTATCCGGGTGGGCATTGAGGTTGCCAAGTTTTTAGAATTGTAGGGTTAATTTGATCCCATTCCTGTAGCAATGCTTTTTTGAGGTCATTTACCGTATCAAACTGGCGTCCATTCTTATAAATTTTGTTGGATAATATTCTCCAAAGATCCTCTATTGGGTTAAGGTCCGGACTGATCGCTGGCCATTGCAATAAGGGAATCTTCCTAGCTTGCAAAAAGTTTTTTGTTTTCCGTGCCGAGTGGATGGGCGCGTTGTCCTGCTGGAAGATCCACTCATCCCCGTAAAGGTTTCCAGCAAATTCAATGAGTATTGTTTCCAAAAACTCTACATACATTTCTGCATTTGTTCTGGTGGGTATAAAACAAAGTGGGGACTTCCCAGCATACCCAAATCCACCCCAAACCATTAATGATCCTCCACCGTGGTTTCGATTATGGCAGTGCTGCCGTGGTTGCCTTTTGTCGCGCCAATACTTTTGGCAGGAGTCAGGACCGTCCAAGTTAAATTTTTTTTCATCCGAAAATATAACTTTAGTGAACTCCTCTGACCAAAATTTGTACTTCTCAGCAAATTCTAGTCGAGCGGTTATGTGGCGCTTCAATAACCTCGGTACAGCGTCGCGGGAAGCATATGTAACCATTTCGGTTTCGTTTAAAATTTGATTTATACGTCTTTTGGATATGTCAAGCTTCAGTTGACCTTTGATCTCCATGCAAGACTTGTTGTTTTGAACGGCTAGACGACGAATTTGCCTCTTGCACCGCGTATCGATTTCAGTGGGTCTGCCGCTTCGCTTTATTTTTCCATACATTTCCGGATTTTTGAGAAAGTTTGCTATTGTGTTTCTATGCCGATTTAGTCTAGCGGCAATATAAGAAGTATTCTTGCCAGATTCGGCCAGGCCTTTGATCAGACCGCGATCTCCCTCCGACAAATGTGTTCCACGTGGCATTCTGCCGTAAAATCAAAATTATAACAAACATTTATGTCTCCAAACGTATAAAAACAAGTTTACTTACATTCTGCTGATTAAATAACTTTTTTGGACCACACTTCTTAGCTTACCCGCACGCGATAGCACAATAATCTAAGCTTGCACATATACTTATTGCCTTTGAAAACCACGAGTTGTTACACATATTATTTAAAACGGTACAAAGAATGAAGCGCAAAGAGGAACATTGGAGTGGGAGATCTTTATAATAGATAAGAGTACAAACTTGCATACCTACAAAAAATATACCGTTACGTTTATAGAAAATATAAGCAAATTAAAAAGTGCACATATACTTCTTTCCCTGAGGTACACCCCATGAAAAGTCTGATAAGAATTTAAACTATTTATACCCGTACTCATAAAGTCTTAAGGGGTATATTAGATTTGTGGTAAATGTGGATGTGTGTAACGCAGAGACGAAAACATTTCCGACCCATATATAGTATATATATATTCTTGTCCAGCATCAATAGCCGAGTCGATATAGCGATGTCTGTCTGTTCGTCCGTCTCATGTATGTCGCGCTCGCACACACTCTGCCATGAGCAGTGCACGACCTTTGCGGAGATGATGTGGAATCTACATTGTTTATGTAGAATATAGATAATGTAGATATATGTAGATAACAGATATAACTTAAAAATTTAATAATATGCTCAAAAATGTACATACAGTTGTGTTCAATGAAATAGTAGGTGCCGCACCTCATCACTTTCAAAACCCTTTTTGAGATATTTCTAGTCTTTCAAATTGAACAATTGATACCTTTACGGAAAGCCTGGAATGTAAGCATTAGAAACTTGAAGAAACCCCATTACATTTGCATTCTATCTTCTTGTTATTTATGACTTTAGACAACTACCCATGATATCTGCTGTTCAATGAAATAGTAGTGCTGGGTTAAATTTATTTTTAAAAATGAAAAAACAAAGCAAATTAATTTAAATAAGTCACCATCCGTAAGCTCAATTTGGTTATTGAATAATTTGATGAAAGAAAGTTTTGGACATGGCGGTACTTTTGATTTTGAGGCGTCGAAGAAATCATTGCTCGGTCCAGAAGAGGAGACCTAAGAGTTAGACTAAAAACTTAAGGCAGGAGGTATAATGGGATTGAAAACTAAGTTGTAGGCACTCTCACTATTGTATTTAACCCAATTAACTAAAAGAAGTAGACTGGAAATCGATTTTGTATGCGAAAAAATGATTTTTTAGAGGATGGCGATGGTCGAAGGCAAGACCAGGCCTTCAATATCCTCAAAAATTATGAACAAAATTTTAAATCGCTCTGTCAGTGATGTGACGGTTCTTAGACGGTTGATTACACATTATTTGAATGCAAGAAGTCCCAGAAAGCACCGCGTTTGGGTCTAAGAGTACATGGGTGCACGACTTCAGTTTGGAAAAACGCATGTGGAATGGCCTGTGTCACAGTGACAAAAATACTTTTGACTAAAGATAGTAAAGTTGTATTATATGGTAAGATAAACTCAAAAGATTATGTTTGGCATTCACAGAAATCCGATTACCACCTAAAATCATGAAAAAATTAGCATTGGGCATGCTAGGCTGAGCCTTATGGGGCCCAGCTCATATGAGCTAGTACTTTCTGGCCTGGCGTTTGAGTATAGTATGGTTTTGAGCAAAACTGAGGATGTAGGCATACTTTAGAATACATTACATTCATATTACAGTTGAAAAATTCCTGCTAAAAGGATATTTTAACCGGATAATGACTTAAAACACCCATAAAAGCTCGCTAGGAATTGATTTTTATCGGAAAAGATCGACGTTTTTCCATGGCCAACTGTCCAACTGGATATTAATCTCATCGAAATCTTATGGGGGAATACCAAATACATTATTGCAACTGCAAATCCGTGAACCAAAGCCAAGTTTTAGCAAGTGGTTCATGGATTATTGGCTCAAATCCTATTGAAGCGTTGGCAAGAGATTAATGACCCATATCCGGCCGGTGCAAGTTCGAAATGAAAACCAAATTGATTAAAAACTAAATATTAAAGCTCAAGAAACATGAAGATCATGAAATATATGTTTTTATTTGAGATTCGTTGTTTTTTTCAATGTTCTAAAAAAACACTACTATTTCATTGAACAGCAAATTTCATGGGTATTCGGCTTATGTCATGTTAAACAAGAAAATGGAATTCAAATGAATTGACATTTCTTCGGTTTTCTAATGGTAACAGTCCAGTCTATTTAAAAAGGTATCATTTGTTCAATTTGGATAGCTGGAAGTGTCTCAAAAAGAGTTTTGAAAGTGATGAGGTGCGGCACTACTATTTCATTGAACACAACTGTATATACTGACTGAGTACGGGTAAAAAAGTAGAGTCGCGTCCAAAGAAGCCACTCACACGTTCTTTCTCGTTTTACCATTTTTTTTATTATAATTATTGTAATTATAATAATTATTATTTTATATTAAATTATATTATTACGGAAAATTTAAAACTGATCCAAAAATAATTGAATGAGAACCGAAACTAGGAAAAGGATACCAAACCCAAATGACGTAGAACGATCAGCCTTGCCCCTAAAATCATTAAAAATTGGTATAAGATATTCACAATATGGCTTAAATACTTACTTGGCTACGGGAACATTTTCCTTGAATTCGGATATTATATTGCCTTTTGGCTTGTAGCGCGCCACAACGTAATGGGTTTCGTCCCTGTGAAGGTTGGTTCGATTGGGCGTATTTCTAAATATCAATGATCGATTCCACTCACTTTGAAAAGAGGCCGATGCCCAGTTTGGTAGAAGCCTTCCAGATGAGGGCCGTGAAGTGTTCAGTTTCCGAATTTAACCGTGGTGCAGAATAATCGTGCATGACCCTTTCGTTATACCAGTTAGTTATGCAGTCTACCGGCTTGAGGCGGGTTATGCACAAGTTTTCTGTATACCCATCAAGTGACGATGACTCGATTACACCCTTTATGGACAGAGTCTTTGCATATTCTTCGCACGCGGTGCTGAGATCCTGGTCCAGTGACAAGGCCGGGCAACCGTGAAATCCTCTGAACTCATTGTGCATTTTAAGGGCCTCCTGAGCAAAGTCCCCATGGATCTGGGCGAACTAAAATCAAAGTTCAGTGGTGCTGCTTGCTTGTATTATTTATTTAGTTTCACTCACCCCACCAAAAGTTAACAAGATCAGAATAATTTTGACCTGCATTGTATGAGAATTTTTTTTAGAACTGAATAAGTTATACTTTTTCCCAATCGATTGGCAGTATATGCCAGGCTTGGAACGATAGAAGTCTCAGTATTTTTATAAAATGCATTTGACAATACTGTTTTTTAAACTTTAACTCAAACATAACGTTTGTTTCCATTAGGAGTAGACGAAACTCTTTTTCGAGCAGTTTTTTTGAAGGTTTCTTTGCTTCAAGGCTTAATGCAAGGATCGGCCGCACAGATGACATTCACAGCCGCGACGAGGACATAGAATAATTTCTATGAGTGGCAGATATTAAATTTCTTGAATTTGGCGGCAAAGGCCCCGCACAAGGCACGAGGTAGCAGAACCTTCGCAGAACCTGCAAGGTCCGGAATTTAAATTAAAGGACTTTTGCTGAAAGGTTCGAGTGCTCCTTCCATTTTAAATCATATCTATTATTGTACGTAAATTTTCACAGATAAACTGAATCAATTTGGACAAAATTGGACCTGCAAATCGTTTAAATGGGGTGAGCCTTAAAGTCAATTAAACCATCCAAAACAATTCGTTTGATTCTTCTGTTCAGTCACAGCATATTCATGTTACTGTTTTGGCGGTTAATCATATACTATTTAAATCCGAATGGCTACATACACTCTACCATTCAGGAGTCGCTCGGCGAAGAATATGGGATGTGCCAGGGCAACTTTCAAGATCTGCGGTCCTTTGGAAAGCTGGAAGCGCTTCTCATTGTATTTATGATCGTGTTTGCGGAGACTTAAGCGCCTAGTTCTATTAGGACTCCACCAGAAACCATACGTATGTACTACTATGCCTGTCCCCTCCCTGCCCGCATCAAGAGTCAGCAGTCAGCTGCGGCATCGTCTCCAGGGCGGCACACAAATTTTTTCGTCTTGGGGTAGGACAACTACAGCCGTTGATGTGCCATTGTGCCGTTGCCGTCGACGTCGCAGTAAATTTAATCAGTAAATTTTATTTTTAAAAATGTTATTAAACAATATTTGCCATAGCAAAAGTCAGACGAACATAGTGCAATAAACTTTTCAGCACTTGTGACTCGTCGTCAGACTCGATGAGTGGCCGGCCTGACTGACTGATTGACTGACTGACTGATTGACTGTCGTCGAGTTGGGCTGATGTTGCCTGGGCTTTTCTTGTGTTGAGGTTTTTCTTTGTTTTAGCTTGTAACTTGGTGGGCTATTTCCTGAGAACTCGTGATAATTTCGATTTCGTTGAAGTGTAATCTGCGAGAAGGTTTCTGCGTGCGGCATGCGTGTTCAAGATGGCATACGGTTCTACATATACGTGATTTAACTTAGAATCGTTCTAGTATTTCCAGAAATCGTAAGGTTCTAGGGACTGTTCTGTAAATGAGCTTCTATGAAACATTTCCTTGACTTTTTCGCCAATTTCAAAGTCTTCTCCGTACCCCATCTATAGAACGTATTGTAGCGCCTTCAATGGCCGCCTCTGTCCAACCGTCTATAAATTCAGATATATGTAAGTATGTGCTCTATAAGTATACGAGTGTACGAGTGTGTATGCATGTACATCTGTGTGGTCTGGTCTGTAGGCGAGTTGAGTTCAACGCTTTCATGTTATTTGCCAAATGAAAAAGTAGAAAACAAATGTTTATCTTATAATGCACTCTGTGTGGCAGTTCTGTTCTGGAGATGGACTGAACGGACAGACGGACGGACGGAATGCGGTGCGGTGCGGTGCGGTGCGTAAATAGGCTTTGCTTTTGGGCTTTACTTTTTTTCATTTTATGAGCGGTTTTTTGTTGGCAAACTTTGTTATCGACAAAAAATAAAAATAATAAAAAAAAGAACTCTGGCTGGAATATTCTGCCGGAGGCCTAGAAGAGGGTGTTGTGCGGTGCGGTGCGGCGCGGTGAAGGTGGAAAGACGGCGAACCAGCGGGTGCTTGTCACTTTTAGGTCGCAAAACTATTTGCAGCTAGAAATTGCCACCGCAGAATGACTAAGAGAGTGCATGAGGCAGGGGCAGAGAATCAGAGCGGGAGAGATGGAGCGATGGAGAGTTCAAGCGCCTGACTCAAGGCAATCACTGTCTGCAGCTTATCAGGCAGTAGGCAGTAGGGGGCAGGCAGCAGGCAGCAGCAGGGGCGGCAGCGACAGCGACAGCGGCAACCACTTGAGGGCCTGTCGACGACCATCCCAAGTACGAAAAGTGCTAATTGTAGACCCCACCACAGGCCTGCCTGCCCTTCGTCCCCCTTCCGCCAACCAACATCATGTTGGGCTTTTCGTTTCTCGAAAACTGTAATTCATGCGTGCCAGGAGACGCCAAAGTTTCAACAGAAATCAGTCAATCATAACCGAAAACATGAAGGGCAGCTAGCTGAAGGGGGCATATTCAGACTGGAGTAAGCCACCTACTGGCTGCAAAAACATGGCTTAAGCGCCAAAGGCCACTGAGGATACTCTTCTCTAATGTCCGAGTGCGTGCTGAAGCGAGCCGCAAGCAAAGCTGTGCACTGGCCACTAGCTGTGGCACCTGCACCCATATATTTCCCGCCCTCTGCTGTTTGTTGTGTTGTGTGCAAAGGTCTCATCACTTGGCCCGCTCCCGCTCCCTGACCTACCTTGTCACTTGTCTGAGCAGCTGTCTGAGCGTGTATCTGTGTGGGTGGGTGAGTGGGTGTTTCACTCTCACTCTCCCTCTCTCTCTTTATCTGTGTGTGTGCACTGCGCCTATTTACTTTTTGGCGTACATTGAACCGCAAAAACCGCCCCCCCAACTAATCATCACTTTGTTTTTGCGTTAATGACATGCCTTGTCCCTCTCCCTCTACCTCTCCCTCCCACCATCTCTCATAGCACACACTCTCTTTTTCGCATCCACATCCCTCTGGGGGAGGCACACACACTTAAGTGAATACACAAAAACGAGGAGCAGAACGTGTTTCCAAAACGTTTTGGCATCCCAAATGTAAATGGAAGTCGTCACTGCCGCCGTTGTCGCCGTCGCTTCTGTCCCACCACCACTCAAAGTGCCATAAAAATTATGCATGAATGTATTTGCTTCATTTCTACACTTGCTTGCCGCCTGCAACACCGCCTGCCCAAATATAAAAAAAAGTAGCCCTGCCCCCCGCACCACAGCCAAAAAAAAGAAACAAAAAAAAAGAGAAGAAAAAAAAAAAAACGGTAGAACGAATGAAAGGGAACGAATGCAGCGTCGCATTTTTACGGCTCCATTCATGTGACGACGGAAGTGTCAAGTGGCTGTTGGCAACTCCTCGTCGACAGGCGACTACTCTCCTCATCCTGCACGTCCTTTTCGTCAACGTTGCCGGCGCTGCTGCTGCCTGCTGCTCTGCTGCCTGTGCTGCTGCCTTCGTCGTTTTCTCTTCTCGCTGCATCGAAAATGCCGTTATTGTTGCCAGTTGTCTACATGCTCTATGCTCTCTATGCTCCATGTACATCACATCACATCACCGTTCCCGACCCCTACCAGGCCACGTCTACGTGCGCCTCCAAGTTACATTTTCCCACCCTCTCACCCCACTGTGATGGCGTCTGCCGTTGAGTGGGCAAACTTTTTAACGTACATATGTATGTATGAACATATGTACATTTATGCTACATACATACATAGTCTGTATGGATGTATTACATTTTTTTTCTTCACATTTTCCCCATTTTTGTGTGTGTGTGTGTGTGTGTGTACTTTGCTTCATTTTTCTATGCCCTTCATTTAGGTGGCTTTGTTCTTTTCGGAGTACAGTTGTGCGCGCAGGGGTAAGTAGCCTCTGTCAAGTAGATGACTAAGTAGACGGAGATTTTTGATACGAACCAATATTTGATGCAAGTGCAAGACATACATAAATATGTAAGAAGCGTAGAGAACTCTACTACTTAGGCCACTTTTATTCGGATATTATGCTCGCTCGATGAGAAGAATTCAATTTCTTGTGCCCCCTAGGAGGAGCCTGTTCAAAGGCTGATAATAAATATCCATAAAAAGTTTTATATACAATAAAAGTTTCCATTTAAAGTCGCCCCTGCATTAAAAGTGAGTTACCAAACAGTCACAGCCATTAAGGAAAGTTACGGTTCCATTTCCCTGGCTCCTCTGAGCTGTATCCTCGTTTTGGCACTCACTCCAGGCAGTGCGAATGCCGTGACAGCTGTCTAATTTGTTACTCAAATTTTGCGTTGCCAGCACAAAAGCACAGCCTAATTACAGTTACTCACTTAGCTAACCAGCAATGATAGACCCGATTACATGCTTACAATGCTGTCCGGTGTCCGCTGTCCGCTGTCCGCAGCACAAGTTAAAATCCATGGCCACGGCCACGACCAGCAGACCGACCACCTCCTGCATCCCTCTTTATGGGAGAGCTTTCGCTTTCGTTTTCGTTCTTGTTGTCGCTTTCTAGCCTAGCGCATCCTATCCACTGGCTGGACATTTGCATTGCGTCTGCCTGTCTAATGAAATTCCGTTGCCAGCTCCGCTGGCTGCACGACCTTCGCCTGGCACCGTTCGGTTACCATCCCAGCCCATCCAGTGCCGTCCCGTCCCGACCAGTTGCAGTTTTTGGTCAAACAAAACGCCCAAAACGGCGCCATTCATAGCCAAACCGCCACACAGCCATAGCCACGACCATGACCAGGGCCGTTTCCAATGCTGCGCTGCGCTGCGCTGTGCTGTGCGGCCTTTGCCTGGCTGGTTCTCTGGGTCTGGGTCTCTGGCTGGTTGTCGGTTGTTATTTTTGGCGCAGCATCAACATGGAAACGTGCTGCCAGCCAGTGCCAGACTGCATTTGCCGCGTGCCACATGCTGCCTGGTGCCAGCTGCCGCTGCCTGCTGCCTGCTGCCTGTTGGCTGTATGTATGTACATATCTGTGGCAATGGGGCGACGTGGGCATTGGAGTTGGACTCGGATTTTGTGTGTGTTGTGTGGGGCACTGCATCCTCGGTGCCAGTGCCAGTGGCATTGACATTGGCGGGCGAAAGTGTGGCACCAGGCCCAGCCCTAGACCCATGCCCAGGCAGGCACACTTCTGTTCTGCCTGTTGCTCTTGTATTTTTGGCTTGCTGCATGC